TTCCGCGCCCCTCATTATGCCCGTGATAATGTTTGTTATTATTATTATTATTATTATTATTATATAATAATAATAATAATAATATTAATTATAATAATAATAATAATATTAATAATATTAATAATAATAATAATAATAATAATATTAAATAATATATTATTATTATTATATTATTATTATTATTAGCGCTAATGTAGGCTTCCGCGATTGCCTACTGGCGCGCGGCGGGCCATTTCGGAGGCCAAGGGCCACCAGTTCTGATTTCGATGAGCTACGCCCGCGTTTTTGTATAGTATTTTTCTTTTTTTATTCAAACTTCCGGAAGTCCCTTACCCGTCATTGTTCTCTTCCAGTCCACACTGCAAAAATCTTGACGGCACGGGCGCTTCCCAGGCCCAAGTTTCTCGTACCTAAGCTTTCGCGCTATTTGTGCATCCCAAGGAATGCAGGGTGAGTACAAAACAAAGCAACCAGCTAGACACCGCGCCCTCGGGTCTGGTATGGGGGTTAAACTGGTCGGAGTGTTCTGCCGTTTCGCTCCGTTCGCTGTTCCATTGATGGAGGTCATCCTTGTGCGGCCGCATTCTTTCAGGGAAGTTCTTGGTTTCTCCAACGTACGAAGCGGGGCAGTCGGCACATGCTGTCGGGTACACTACGCTCTGCGCTTTTTTCGCAGGTGCGTGTTCTTTGGGCCAAAGGATGAACCTGCCCATGGCGGTGGATGGCATGTGGGAAACGTTGACCCCCGCCCTTCTATTGCTTTGCTGGCGCCCGCGATGCAGGGAATCAACAAACGTCGCCGTCGTGTCACGCTTTCTCCGTCTTTCCTCCAGAGAACTCTGCGAATAAACGCCTTTGTTTAGCCTTTGGTGCCGAGGTCACGGATTATATTCGCCCTTCCTTCCGCCGCTGCGTGGACGATTAGTCGTTGGACGATCGGCTATTTCGTTGGAGTTTTCTGTTCTTACTCAAAAAAGGTGCATTCGAACTTTTTTATTTTATTTTGTTTACGTACGTGGTTGGTTTCAGGGAAGCTTTCAGTAAGTGGTTTGGGAGGCTGGTGGGGTTCGCTGAAACTCATCTAACCCAGTGCTGCGGAGCACAAAACAAAGCTTAGCCGAGGGTCATGGGAAGGCACGGAGGTAGCGCAGCAAAATGAAAATAGAGGATCCTTTTCCCGATGCAAAAGCCATTGCGGCAACCCTTTCCTTCACCACCATCCCCACTTCCAGTCGTACATTACAACCTCGCCCCTCCCCCCTTCCAGGCGGTTTTACGGAAAAAAACATTGACAACCTTTCCAGGGGGCGCCAACCCGAGGACTCGGCTTGGCGCCCCCTCCCTAGTGGCGCCCGGGGCACTTGTACCCCCTTGCCCCCCCCTAGTTACGCCACTGGCTGTAGCAAGTAATGTGACACGCTGAAAGGCGAATATTTTTTAAATGTTTTTCTATTGTTGAACGTTCTCGTTGAACCAGGCTGCGCCCATTTAGGTCTGGGCCCGATAGCTTGAAGGATAAACATTTAATTTATTTTGAAACAAGATATCGGGCCAAGCTGATTCGATTCTGCTATAGGCGGATGGTTTCCTCATTCAAAGTTTCTTTTTTAAGCAGCGGCGTAAATCCGGGAAAATCACGAGGGGGGGGGGACACGTCTTGCGATGGCGGCCATCTTGAATAAAATCCAGCAAAGCATGGAACAAGAGAAAGATGCAGACGCACACACGGCTGGATGTGTATAATATTGATTAGTGTGAAATTGATCAAGAAAGAGCCTGAACATGTACTCGAAAGCTTTTGCGATTATTTTTTCGGGAAGTCGTGTCTCAGGATGCAATTAATCTCTTTCTTTAGTGGTGAACTCTAAATGCACCACGGCGCGAACGGGGAGCCGCCAGCGCGTCACAGAGACACATCATAACGACATTTCATTTCTTCTTCCTCTTTACGCTATTCCCCGCAATTTCTTTTGTTCTGTGCTTAGATAATTTTTCTTCAACTGCCTGTCAACGTCTGTGTAAACGTTGGTGGCCATCAACCCTTCCGTGGTCATATTGTTTTTCGTAAGTGTACAAAGGTTTTTTTTTGAATATATGTAAACTATGCTATTAAATAAAAAAAAAAACGGCATCTGTCTCGGTGCCGGGTCAGGGAGCTCAGCCTAACAACTCCGGACAGTCAGTTTCGCGCATGTTTCCAGCTAATATGCCATTTGTAGTACATCGCCGATTGGAAATACGTACTTCGACATTTTAGGGGTGAAGCTTCTTATAGGGTGTGGGTCTGTCCTTTTTCCGTTGGTGTATGTAGCCACCCTGCAAACACCCCACTACACCTCATCACTGATTCACCACTTCAACGACTATAAAGCCAATACTGTTGAGAAGTAGCCAATATGAAATGCAAGGTGGTCATGTACTTGTATCCAGGTGCGCGTTAAAGAACCATAGATATTTCCACTGTCTCTATCCCTTGTTTCTACATGACCGCCTATAGTTCGACCTTTTCAAACTGCCCACTACTTCGTCCTCACAAACCCCCCGTTACGCACCATCACCGATCGATCACCTCACCGACCACGAAGCCGTTATAATGAAGCGAAAACGGAAGCGACGTATAGCTACCACTTACCAATAATAAAGTTTCTTGTATAAATATGTTTAGAAGAAGTTGTTAGTGATTTAGAGTACTATATAGTTTTTCTACTATGGGAGAGCTTAAAGCCATCCCGTATAACGCAGCGTGAAAAACAACGTCGCTTCTATATATACTTTCTTTTTTCTGGTGGGTGGTTTCGATATTAAAAAAAATCTTACTTAATTAAGTCATCGATTCTTGGCCGATCCCCCTGAGTGGGTACGAGCCATGTCTATGGAATCATCATCATCATATACAGTGTTTGCCACGTCTTTGATTATGTTGTGGGTGATATTCGCCGATGGTTCACAGTTTAGCGATGAAACCATCCTAGCGCTTCGCCCCACTCATTCACTCCGTGGATATGCTGTGATTTTCTGCCGGTAATGCGTAAATGTACACGTACTTCTGCTCAATGACGCATCCTGTATACCTGTTAAGCAGGCTCATAATGTAACGCAAGAAACGACAAAACGGACACAAAGAACGACACCACGCCGGCGCGTGGTTGGAATGAGGGCTTTCAATTGTTTTTTCCATTAGAGTTGTTAGAAGCACTTGTGGTGTGTCGTTCTTTGTGCCGGTCTTGTCGCTTTTTTTGCGCTCCATTATGAATGTGATTTGACATCAACTAGCCCAGCAACAACTCCTTCTGTTAGGCCTAGCGTCACAGGGCTTGAACTGGGAAACATTCTCGCAAAGCATGTTTATGGTCACCGGGGATTGATTATTTTTTTTAAAAATAAAATATTCTTGCTATGTGGAACAATCGGATGCACGCTTAATTGTCAATGGCTTGCAACAAATCATCTGGGTACACAAATAAATAACGGTAGATCATCCCGATTCTTCATTTAATTGGCATTTTAAAACGCAGCGTATTGAACATTTGCTACGCGTCCAAATATAGTTACCTCTAGTATTCCAGGAAGATCGCTGCTAATTAAAAGCAGATTTTGCTCGTTTCTGCTCTTTGGAAGGGCTTCAGATTTCAGAACTAGTTCTTTAGGCGAGTGCATGAGGCTTAACTGTCAAGCTATATATATTGAAATATGATGTTCGAAAGCGAAGTTTCACTTGCAACGAGTGCCCCCCCCCCCCCTAGTCTGAATATCACCCCCCCCCCCATTGATTTACGCAACTGTTTTTTTAAAAAATGGGAAGCACTCAAGCACGCCAGGCAAATTGTGAAAAAATTATCCATGATTATGACGTACGTTTAGCGCGAAAACTTGAGCGCAGCTGTAGGTATTACTTTCATTTGTTGATCTGAAGCAAATAACTTGAGGTATACGTACAGTTTGCTTACAAAGAGAGGGAAAGCTTATCTGTTTATTTTCTCTCAAAATATTTTTATTCATTTTTTTTGTTCCAGTATCTCATTCTTGCTTGCTTGTTTGATCCTTATTCTGTTATATTCTCGTATATTCTCGTTTTTTTTTGGTGCCCACTCCAGTTGCAGACAACTCTGCATATTTTTATTCTCCAGATTCTTAGTTTTTAATGCATACTTTGTTTATGTGGTGCGAACTGCAGATAGTAGAGAGAGAGAAACGAAAAAAAAAAGAAGTGTATTGTCGAGGCAGTATTTTTTTTCAGTGAATGCCCGGTATCACCTCAAGATGGAAGGGCTAAAGAATAATAACAAAGAAAACGTGCGTCACGTTGCTCAAGTAATATCATTCTCTGCGAAAGTTCCTTGAGTTGCGGCAGAGTCTATGGAGTCAGTTTGCGGCGAGGGCTAACAGGCACTCAATGCTGAGAGTTGCGCTTGAACAGGAAAGAAGGCACTGCGCCGTGCTCTCTTCCGAGCTGCAGAAATTAGGTGCTTTTTTTTCCCTCTTCTAACCACTATCGCCACCACAGGAAAGATCAATATACTTATGCGAAAGCATCACATGCACGCGCATGGCTGTCGTCTCTGTGTCGTCGTTTGCTCCCTGACAATAGTTATAGCGCGAAACAAAACGACGACACAGAGACAAGAAGTACTTCTTGTCTTTGTGTCGTCGTTTTGTTCTCGCGCTATAACTATCGCCATGCCATACCAACTAGCCCAAGTTGCCACACTCCTAAGTTACGTCTTGTTCCCGTCTTCGTGCGATTACCGCTTTCACAATGCGCGCCAAGCCGCGCACACTGCAAGCGGCAGCCCGACAACAGCAATGACTTATTTTACTAGTCAAAATATAATAAGCAATTTACAGCAATTTCAAACAGAACAGTATTTTCTGATAACTTTTTTATGAAAGGTTAGTACATACGTAGGGAAAATACTTTTTGTGCATAAAAACTAGTTGCACAACGACACTGTAGTTGGCGCTGCGGGGCGAACCGGTGACGTCGTGATCACCCGATCGGTGGCGTGTTTTCCGATTGGCCAAGATCTCGTGGTCTCATGTCGGGTGCATCAGCGAGCCTTCGGAAACCCTGACATGTATCTTAAAAACTTCCCGATAAATAAGTTAATTGCTTTCAAGAAACCCTCTTACAGTGCGGGATCATCAAGTAAACGATGCGATGGATCCCACATCCACTTCAGATATCGATGGTGCGTACCATTGGGGCAGTCTGAATACATCCGTGCGAAATGGCCTGTTGCTGAACGCGATCCCGTAGCGTGTTTCTTGGAGAACAACGAAAGTTGTTCAGAAGTTTTTTCTCGCTATCCACCCCGCTAGTTTTGCTTATTCGCGCCTGATGTTTTGCTGACAACCTCTTTTTCACTCCTTCGTGTTACTCAATGTATGTTCGTCCACTTACGTTGTTGTTTTCGTTCGGCTTTTTCGTTTCGTTACTTCCCCGTAAGTTCGAAGTTGGTGCAATAAATCTGTTTCCGGACCTGGGATGTTGAAGCCTGGTTGCAAAGCTGCATGGTCAGTCGGAAAGCCGCACCGACCGAAGGCGGGAAAGTGGCGTTCTGGGTGCAGCCGTTGCGTGCACCGAGTGCGACGTTAGGAATAAGAAAACGTGTCCCGTGTGCCTAAAGCAAGTAAACTTCGCTGAGCGTCTTTTTGTCGTTAACATGAATTTAACGGTGTCATTACGTAAGGCGGCAATGCATTTCGTGCTTGACATAGGCACTAGCACGTTGTAATCGACTCAGGGAACGCTACAGGTCGTATCCTCGATGGGAAACCCACTTCCGGAGCATCTCTTTTACTGTGCAGGCGTCGGTTGCTTACACAAGAAATATGAGACTGTAGAAGGTGCGTAACCGGCACGCATGATTTCTCCATTGCTTAGGTTGTTGCCCAAAGCTTATCTCTGTGATAAGGGGCAGTGGGGAGTTCGTGACTTCGAAGAATGCTTGTCCATAAAGCAAGGTCACGTTCAAGCGTAGTCTAGAATTCTAAAGTTAAGCACCCATAGCGTTAAAAAAGCCGAACGTTTCGTGAACATGGGCGGTCGCTGCAGCCAACGTTTCAACAACCAGACTTGTTTTTTTCATGGTTACAAATTATGCTTTCCTCAACGCCTGTATGTCTATGCTTCGTACCCTTTTTTTCCTGTTAAGACAAATAAGGAAGAGAAGGTAACTGCAAAAACGGGGGGGGGGGGGTGCATTTTTGCTCTTACCCCTGTTTTTGTTGTTGCATTTCTGAAAAAGGCAAGTCCACTTGATGGAAAACGATGGCACCAGCTACACCTCCGGTGTTTACGAGTTTCCTCTCTCTAAAAGCTTCCTTCAATTCCTGAACATCATAATGTTACAAGCAGCTCTTTGCCTAGCCTTGATTTACCGTATTTACTGTAATGTCACTATAGCTGTTTTTACGCCTAAAGCATACTGTCGCATTATAACCGATGCAGAAATTCAGATTGTCTAAAAAGTGAAATGTTGTATGCAATACTTCGATTAAAAAATTTTTTTTTCTGGACGCAATGGAATGTCACCTCCTGGTGTTACAATTGTGTTTGTGTTACAATCAAGTAAATGAGATACTTGCCTGTCCTTTTTGATTAGCTATGCTTCAGCCAGGCATTTTTCTTATGCATGATTCCTTCTGCATTTTCATGCAGATATGTTTAACCTGATGCCCGATTCCCTGATTGGGTCATCGGAGCTTTTCGACAATGAACTCCTGGGCCTGCCCGTGCTGCCAGACGATCCGGCACTTATGGGTATCAAAGAGGAGGACTTGGACCTCGAGTTCTTTGAAGGGGAGTCCTCCCTGGTCGATGGACTGGTGACCAACCCGAGCTCGTACCTGACGACAAGTGATCCAATGGTGCCTGCCACTATTCTCCAAGTGGCAGCGCCTGTCCAGGAGCCACCAAAGCGTACACTGGTTGTGCAGCCCCAGAAGGTGCGTGCTCGTGCCTTTCTGAAAGCTATCGGGCATAGTTTTGATAAGAACTAATAACACCAATGGGAAATTTGTAGCTGTCTATGTTGCTGTCTTTCATACATAACTGTGCATTCTCTTTTTCATTATTTAAAGCAAGCTTAATTGCAATTCACATCACCCATCTCATGGTGCTAGTTGTTCTGCAAACAGTTTGCTCAAGCACAGTTTGCTTGCATCATAAGGTGGCAAAAGTAGCCCCAGCTTTCTTCATATAATCATGCATACTTGACAAGCCCCAGCACGTGCAACTACAATCTCCCCACCACTTGAAGCAAAACAGGTGCTGCCATTAGTTTAACAAATGTGCAGTGCAGAAAAGCACAGTTTAGGATTATGAAAATGGTCTAAAACTCCCAGAAAAACGCAAGGGACCTTCATTGAAAGGAATTAAAGCGAATGAAAAAGCACCCTTTCTGAGGTGGGATCCAAATTCAAAACATTTGAAATAGTGGGTTCATATCACACCAATAGAAAGGGTGTGTTATGACTTAATTTATGTTGGAATTGCTATAGTACACTGAGGGACCACAATTAATGCCTCCCATGCTTTCTTTGGCTTAACTCTCTGTTGGTTTCATTGGTTTTGTCGAACAAAGAAACGAGCCCCTTGAAGTAATTCGCTTTTTTTATAGTGTTGATAAAGGTGCATGACGTAGTCTAATGTGCTTGCTAGTTTTAGCCCAAATTTTACGCTGTTATGTATTGTGAATCGTAGGGTAACATCTTTGGCTGCAGCATGTACGTCCTTATTCAGAAGTTTGCATAGCCTTTAGTAATGCTGTCTATTTCAAAAACACTTGCACTATCTGTCGTTGTAAAGAGTGAAGCTTTAGCTAGCTAGTCCTTTTGTTTGCTGCAGCTGTTTTGTTGAAAGATGCCAGCCGCATTTTGTGCTTAGAAAGTGGCATTTACTATGTGGTATTGCAGTCAACACATGCTGGTAGTTCATTTGCATGAAATGCTCAAACACTTTATCCATATGTGGTGCCTTGTAACATTTGTTTTTTTCAGGTAACCATTGAATCACTGTAATATGGGTGTGTATTACCTCAAGGAGCAATGGCCGTAACAGTCTTTCAAATCCGTCAAGTATGAGCAGCTACAGGTATTCGTCACATGTTTCAAAAGCAAAATGGAAGGGATCACAAAGGGGCAGAATGCTTTATCAGTGTCACTCAAGTTTTTTTTTTTTTAGATACTGCAGTCACAATGAGCCTATTGCAGGAGTGGGAAAAGAAGTAAACAATAACAAGACCAAATCAACATTCATGAACAGGCTTCGAGAAATTCTTAAAGCGGTAGAGAACGAACACTTCTGCACAGCACATTTCTGGCTCCTATAGTTGAAGGGGAAAGCTGTATTTGAACATGTCAATATGGGTGAAAAAAGTTGCAATGTCTAAGGCATGGTCACTGCTCACAGAAAAAGATGTGGGAAATTTCAGATATGCTTCTAGAGGGCCGAAGAGAGAAGAATAGATTAAATTGTGCAGAAATTTCAGGCATGCAATATGTCGACGCTTCACAAGTGTAGTGAGACTTAGCTGGGGATGGCAATTTGTTGGAGAAAAATCTGTCATATCTTTTGCGTACAAAGCGCGCAGTCATTTTTTGAACAGCTTCTTGTTTCTTGATAGTATTACACTTCTTATGGGGTTCCAAATCACACTATCATATTCGAGAATGGGACGAATAAGAAAGTGTTTTGTAGGTAAACAGTTCGGTTTCCTGAGGAGCAAGACAGACCATACGATGTAAATAACCTAAACTCTTAAAAGGACTTTGTTGCATGTGAGATCAATATGTTTGGACCTTGATAAATTATGCGTCATAAGGATACTAAGGTACTTAAGTTTGGACACCCAGCACTAACATTGTTATAACCGTTTTCAAAAGTCAACGGGCACGAACGTCTGATAAAGGCTTAATGACCTTGTTGAAGAAGATAATATTCATTTGCCAAGATTGGGACCACCTGAAAAAATGGGAAAATTAATTATGAAGAATGGCATGATCCAGTGGAGATTTAACAGTATGATACAAGATGTAGTCACCTGCAAAAAAGGGGTATTTTCACAGTAGTGTGCAAGGGCAGGTCATGATTATAAAGCAGGAATTAGAGGGGTCCTAGCATAGGACCCTGGGGAACTCCTGATAGAACTGGCATCGAAAGCGAGTTAGTCGAGTTGAAGCAAACATATTGTGAACGCTGCAAAGTAAGTCGACTCGGATATTCCGCCAACCAATGAGGTAATCTTGGTGTGATTACAAGGGGGCTTGTGTTGCTACTGTGTAATCTTAGCACATTACTGATCACAGTGCTGGCATGTGGTTGTCGTGGTAACTGCAGTGCAGTTGGAAATAGATGTTTATTGAAGCCCCCTTTTTTTAGCCTCTTTTACCATAGCAAATTGTAAGTAGGTGTACCGCAGTGTAAAACGATGTTCTGGGTCATTATTCATTGGCACACACAGCCATTTTAAGCTGATGTAGTATAGTCGAACCATTACGTCAGCAATATTTAGTTAATGTTTTAATGGTTTTACAGAATACATTCATATGTCGAGGCAAGCTGCTACTTAAGTTTTTTGCAATTTATGTGGTACAATAATGAAATGCCTAGTGAATTTTGTAATATGGGCATTGACGTGCACATTTGTAGTGACTTGTATGCCATCTTGAACTGAGCAGACGCTTTCAGTGGCTCGCATTTCCCGATTGTTCTATTTCATAATACAGTACAATGCAAGAGATTCCAGAAATACCAGTGTTCTGGGAAAATCGTTAGCAGATAGCTATTGGAAAAGCAGCTTGGCTAAGCTGATGGTTCGTTATTAGTGGGTATGCGTGAATATTAAAATGAATATAACAATTAACTTTGCTACAACATAAATTGGAATTACTCAAAAGTTTTTAAGTATTCGAAATGAACGAATGAGCATATACTTGATTGCACATGACCTCCTGCAAAAATGGTTTCACTGCAGCTTAGGAGTTCTTTGCTGTGAAAACACCTATCCAGAAAAAAAAAACTTGCACTGTTTCGAAGTACCATTTAACGGTTGAATGGACATATTACCCTCAATCTTGTTATATGAGTTTATATGCTCTAAGTATTTTAATTTTTAAAAAGTAAACTACTTCACCAGTTATCACTGGCTGTCACGGGCCCCGTTAATTAGGGAGGCGATCGCCGGTCTAATTCCAAGGGCCGAAGTATCGGCCCCTTGAACCGCACCACAAAAGCGTGGACAATTAGAAATGGTCCTATTTGGCGCGCCAGCGGACGCCGGCTGTGGCCCAAAGAACAAGTCAGAGCCGAGAGTTGATAAACAAAACAAAATTATATTCTCAATTATGGCAGATCAAAACCATACACAAGTATGCACACTCGACAATAGTTGAATACAATATGCCACCAATCAAACAATGTACTACACAGTACAATCAGCCACACTCGAAACAACGGACACAGACAACAATACGCCCTACAATGCAGTCGCATGCATCGAACAACCAAGACACTTAGAGACTAAAGAGTTGCAAAACTTATTCAGTCCAAAGTTCTTGGAACAAAAGTCTGGATGATACCCTTCCGAGAATCACTCACTCAAAATCAAGTGTTGTTTCGTTCCGCTGCCCCCGAAGTTTCTCTTCCAGGAAACCTCGCGTCTTCAATTGACCGTTCTTCAGGCTCTAAACTTCTTCGCCGCTAACACGTCGGCTTCCCACACGCAGCTGTTGCCACGCGTCTTCGCTCGATAGCTGTAAACACACGCTCTTGCCGGTAGCTCGAGTCTTCACCCCTCAGGTGGAAATCCTCTTCTTCTCCTCCTTTGTCACGGAAGACAAAAGGCTTCGCCCACAAGGCGGAACACCCTACGCACTCTGGCGCATACTCTCTTCTCCTGCGTTGCCACTAAGGACAAAACCTTCACCGACAGACGCGGCGGAATAACCCCACGCACACTGGCACTAACTTCCTTCTTGTCCTGATCTCCCATCTCTGCTGCTTGGTTAAATACCTTCCGCGCGAGATTCCAGAAAGTTCTCGTCATTTCGTTGGCGCGATACGCAGTGAAGGCTGGGGAAAGCGCGAGACGGTACAAGACCGTCCGCGAAAGATGATGCAAGCCTGCATCACCACGCCCCTTTCCATCGAGAACTTTCTATGGCTTGCTCGGTCGCTGATGTGAGGAGGTTCGTCGGCGAACCTACGCTTCCGAGGGGAGAGGGACGTGCGCCCGGGGAGTCTATGGATGCTTGTTTTCTTTTTTTATCGTTGACCTTGATGCATCTCTCCGGCGCTTCGTCGTGAGAATTTGGCGGCGCGCCCTTTTTGAGCGCTTGTTTTGTGACACTGGCCCCAACTTTAAGAATATTATCTCATAATATTCAAAACCACACAAACGAGTGTGAACAGTCCCCACACTTTCAGAGACTGTAACATAGTCCGTCGCTCATGACACGCCACATTCACAATATATCACTCTATACAATTGTACATTATAATTCAATCTCACAACACATGAAATATAACCACAGGTACATGACTACAACACTCCATCACATATTCCAAACAATACAAATGTACAAAGTTCTCTCATTACAACAATTCTACAATACTATACATCACATCACCGTAACAAACATTTTGACTCGCTCGACATACAGTTGTGACACAGGATAACAACCACATTAACTTAACATATGGCACTCAGCACTGTCAAACTCATTCCGATACGACCTCAGCACCTATCCTGAGTACTTCGAGCTGCGCTTGCGCCCTTTCTCGCGGTACTCGCTCGATCTCTTCTTGTTTTTCCTCGTTTTGTTCCGGCGAGCCCTATCCAACGACGGTATCTGAGGCGGCGTCTCAGCCATCGTTGTCACTTCCGACATTGTCAGCGGGTCATAACGCTCAACCGATCCTGTCCGGTTATTCACCCGCTTGTTCATGTCAGGACATTTGGCCTGGCTGGCCGACTCCGTCACCTTTACACTGTCGCTTGGTTGAGGTCGTGCCGACGTAAGTCCAGCTGCCCAGCACGTGAACTTATTCAACAGGATCATCTCCTCATTCACTGTCTCTTACACCGCGGCTTCACCTTGGGCTCGAGTGAGATCCGTCACTGGATGCTCCTCCACTGTATCTCGCGGTCGCTTGGTTGGCGAGGGCTCTATCTTAGGGTCTTCTCCCAAACGTTCTGGATCATTCGGCTCTCGCGCCCCGTCGATGTTTCCGATGACGAGGTCGTACAGGGGGGTCGTCATGCATAGAGCAGTAACCTTCCCGCTGAAGTACGGGGTTTCAACCTCGATTTCTGCTTCGGGAAGCATCCGAACCGTACTGTCAATTAGGCAAACTGGTTTCGTTTTGCCTGTTAACTCACTTTCCCGTACCAAATTTCTCCGCACTATAACCGTGGAGCTACCGGTGTCTCTTAACACCGTAATCTTCTTGCCCGCAACTTTTCCAGGCAGCGTTGGCATTCCCTTTGTGACACCGGTTGGCTGTTTTGTCATTACAGCACCCACAATAGGAAGTTTCTCCCCATTTTTCAACTCTACAATCCGTCGGTGATGGCATCACCATCGGATTTCGGTGCTGCTAGCACACAGGATACCTGGTGAGTTTGACTCACACCGTTACGACAAGCGTCTGCTTTGTGCCCAGTCTGACCACACTTGAAACATATTACAACCGTAGGGCTCGTGAAGTTAGTACGACAGTTGTTCGCGCGATGACCCACTCGGTTACACAGAAAACATCGCGGAACACTCTCCGGTGCACGCTTCTTTTCTTCGGGAGCCAATTTCTTCGAATCATCGGGACAATCCTTCTTGACTTTGGCCAAATTAGTGCCACCTTGCGCTTCCAAGAATTGATCAGCCAATTCAAGCATTCCTTCAAGTGACTCGGCCTTCCTCTCTTTCAAGTACAGCGACAGGCTTGGGTGGCAACTAGTAAGAAATTGCTCTCTAATTAGGAGCTCTCTAAGCTCATCGTACTCCTGCGCTGTCCCTGAAAGTTCAATCCATCTGTCGAAATGATGGCTAAGTCGGGCGGTGTACTGCGTAGCCGTCTCGCCATCAGCTGGCTTTCCTGTCCGAAATCTGTCCCGGAATCTTTCCACAGTAAATCTAAATCGCTTCAGTAAAGCAGCTTTCACCTTTGCATAGTTGGCTGCATCGGTCGGTGTCAGCCTACCGTACACACTGAGCGCTTCACCACTCAAGCAAGTACTCAAAGCAGTTGCCCATTGATGTTTCGGCCAATTTTGGCTCCTCGCAACCGTCTCAAATCGGTGAAGGTACGCGTCAAGGTCGCCCTCCCTTTCATCAAACGCTACGAGCAGCTTGCTTGGGTTCAAGAGGAAGCCGTGGTCCTCCTGTTCGCTGCTTTCAACTCTAGCTTGGACCGGAGTTTCACTTCGCTGTTGCAAACGGAGCCGCTCGAGTTCCATCTCGGCTGCCGTTCCCTTTCCTCTCTTTCTTCTTTCGCCCTCTCGGCTGCCAGTCTTTCTCTCTCCAGCTCCAACTTCAATTGCTGCTCTCTTCTCTCGCCCTTTCGGCTGCCAACTTTTCTCTCTCCAGCTCCAACTTCAATTGCTGCTCTCTTTCTTCTTTTGCTCTCTCAGCTGCCAACCCCTCTCTCTCTCCAACTCAGCTGCTTTTTCTTCCTTGGCTCTCTCAGCCGCCGACCTCTCTCTCTTTCAACTCAGCTTCTTTTTCCGCTTTGGCTCTTTTGACCGCCAACCTTTCTTTTTCCAGCTCAGCTGCCTTTTCTTCTTTGGCCCTCTCTTTTTTTTTCCTTCTGGGTGACCCACTTCCGTAGTTCGGCGCCAGAAAGACCCATCTTCTCACCAAGAGCTACTAACTTTTCGAGATCCATTGTGTCTCGCAAATGAAGTCTTGCCGCGTGCAAAAAGTATCTGCCTAAATCAGTCTATCGGAACACTCCCCTGCACTCGTTAACGAGAACACTGAGCAACACACAAAATCGTTCTGATAGCAGTATCAACAACTCGAGGCTCTTTCTCACTACTTTGGACACACTGTGCACCAAAAGGGTCCTGTCGCGGACGCCAGATTGATAGTCACAGGCGCCGTTAATTAGGGAGGCTATCGCCGGGCTAATTCCAAGGGCCGAGGTATCGGCCCCCCGAACCGTACCACAAAAGCGTGGACAATTAGAAGTGGTCCTATTTGGCGCGCCAGAGGATGCCGGCTGTGGCCCAAAGAACAAGTCAGAGCCGAGAGTTGATAAACAAAACAAAATTATATTCTCAAATATGGCAGATCAAAACGATACACAAGTATGCACACTCAACAATAGTTGAATACAATATGTCACCAATCAAACATTGTACTACACAGTACAATCAGCCACACTCGAAACAACGGACACAGACAACAATACGCCCTACAATGCAGTCGCATGCATCGAACAACCAAGACACTTAGAGACTAAAGAGTTGCAAAACTTATTCAGTCCAAAGTTCTTGGAACAAAAGTCTGGATGATACCCTTCCGAGAATCACTCACTCAAAATCCAGTGTTGTTTCGTTCCGCTGCCCCCGAAGTTTCTCTTCCAGGAAACCTCGCGTCTTCAATTGACCGTTCTTCAGGCTCTAAACTTCTTCGCCGCTAACACGTCGGCTTCCCACACGCAGCTGTTGCCACGCGTCTTCGCTCGATAGCGGTAAACACACGCTCTTGCCAGTAGCTCGGGTCTTCACCCCTCAGGTGGAAATCCTCGTCTTCTCCTTCTTTGTCACGGAAGACAAAAGGCTTCGCCCACAAGGCGGAACACCCTATGCACTCTGGCGCATACTTTTTTTTCCTGCTTTGTCACTAAGGACAAAACCTTCACCGACAGACGCGGCGGAATAACCCCACGCACACTGGCGCTAACTTCCTTCTTCTCCTGATCTCCCATCTCTGCTGCTCGGTTAAGTACCTTCCGCGCAAAATTTCAGAAAGTTATAATTTCGTCGGCGCGATACGCAGCGAAGGCTGGGGAAAGCGCGAGACGGTACGAGGGCCATCCGCGAAAGATGACGCAACCCTGCATCACCACGCCCCTTTCCATCGAGAACTTTCTAGGGCTTGCTCGGCCGCCGATGTGAGCAGGTTCGTCGGCGAACCTACGCTTCCGAGGGGAGAGGGACGCACGCCAAGGGAGTCTTTAGATGCTTGTTTTTTTTTTTTTCTCGTTGACCTCGAGGCATCTCTCCGGCGTTTCGTCTCGAGAATTTGGCGGCGCGCCCTTTTTGAGCGCTCGTTTTGTGACACTGGCATCCTACCGAACTTCAAATCTTGGTACCAAAAAGAATGGAATTACCACATTCTTTCAATTTTGTTTCAATTTTTAAAGATATTTTGCTGGTTTGTTGTTTCATGACCAACATGCTGATCTTTCCTTATTGTATGCAATATATGCCATTTGAACTATTTGACTTGAAGCTATTTGACCAAAATATTATTCGCTTCGAACGTAAAATTTACTCTTCGTACAATCCTCGTCACAAGGCATACATGGTGGTTGCATGAAAACGTAGTAATGTTACTTTCAATGCATCAGTTATTTACAGAAATGTGCAAAAGAAGACTGAAATATTATATAGTAAGAGGAAAGATATTTTATACATCGAAAGAAATAAATATATTCAAGGGTTGCAAGAAAGCAATATCATTGGCTCTGATAAATGAGCATGAAAAAAAAAAATCCTACTTCACTCGTACGTCATTTAACAAAGTTGAATCTTGCACGACAATAAGTTTGTTCTGTCCAAAAATTTGTTATAGAAGTATATTCTTAACACTGTGTCTGCTGGAAGACTATCATTCATATACTTTGTTACAACAGATATTTCGTTAGATCTGGGTTCGTTATATCGAGGTTTGAGTGTACATAATTACAAAACACATCAGAATTCCCTCTGGTGAGGAACTTTTGGTACCTCAATATTTGTTTAAAATGTGTGGCAGATCATACTGTAATGATCGTAGGTTATACTAATTTCAAAAGCATGGAATATACCATATATCATTGTTTCTTGTATTTGCAAAAATTACTTTTGTTGTCAAAGACTCGCCAGACAAAAGAAAAAAAAAAATGTGCTATGCCTTGGAGTTTTTGTGTTGCGATTGTCGGTTGCCACAGATGGCGTTTTTTCTCCGGCCCAGGTGTGCATCCCAGCAGCGGCAGTAGCGAGCAATGCTGCACCTGCCACTGCTGCGACAGCCAGCGCCCCCCGACAACAGCCGCAGAAAGTTACATTGGTGCGGCCCTTCTCGCAACAGGCGGTGGCTCCGCGAGTGGCCACGCTGCAGCCAAACCCGATGCCATCAGTCGCGGAGCTGCTCGCTGCACTGAAGGAACAGCAGACACAGCAACAGCAGCGCATCAGCCGCCTCTCCCAGCTGCCCACGCAAAAGGTGCCTGATCGTATCCACTATGCACCCACGTCACTAGTCTGGAAGCATTTGGTAGCACCATAGTGTTCCCTGATATTAACTAGAAGGGACTCTGGCTCTGCCATTATTCAGCAACCATGGGAATGATGGGTAGTACATGGATTTGCCTAGTCTTCGAGCCTGTGGACTGCGAACGCACTTGTGGCTTTGTTTATTGTTGTGTTTTGGCTTTGTTTCGAATAAAATAATGAATCATTTCGAACGTCGTGACCCTATTTGAATTGGTGAACTTAGGAGCTTACAGTGGTGAAGCGTGACCCCTGAACATTTGCTGGTGTTTGTTTTGTGACAAAGCAGCTTCAGGCCACACAAAGCCAAACGGAGCCACTACTATGTAGACTAGGTGAATCAATGTGCTAACCATGATTTCCATGCTCGCTGAAGCGCCATGCGTTGCAGCTCCCATAGATATTAGCGCCAGAGATCCCTCTAGTGTATATATAGGAATTTATATGGGTAGCACAGCAAGATAATAGCTGCATTAGTTGAAATTTAGGGTTATAGTATTTGCTTAACAGTATGGCACGCTGGGCTTGTTGGTGTATAGCTACTTGAAAAGCGTCGCTCAGAACTACAAATGAGAAGACAAGAAGGGACAGAAAGAACGACAACTTGCACAACAAGATGATTGTTGCAGCGCGAGAACAGAATGACGACCAAGGGACAAGAAGAAGACGAGCACTAACATCCAACTAGTTTTCTTCTAGTCCCTTTGTAGTCGTTCTGTTCTCGCGCTATAACAATCGTCATGCCATACCAACTAGCCAAAACTGCCACGCTTCTAAGTCGCACAACAAATTTGATTTTTTGGAAGTGCTCGTAATATAAAGGCTTTTGAAGACACGTGCAAACCTACATCACTAACCACATGGGATCTGTGTAATCTGAAGTTTACCTCAAACAACAACTTTTTACTACCACATGCACATACTAACTATGGCAAACATGCTACCATATTTGCAGCTATCCAATTTTGGAATTCAGTACCACTAAGCACTAAACAATTGTCATTAGCTGCTTTTAAAAAAAAAACTTAAACATCTTATCTCGCAATCATAACTCATCTTCATTTTTATATCTGCATTCGCTTAGATTTACTGCTATTACTGTGTGCGTTCTTTTCACATTTATTACCCATGCACATTGGAGTTAATGTCATTTCGTTCCCGATTCTACTGCCATTTTTAGTGTATGTTTCATTGTTTTCATAGTTATGCACAATTACTGAACATTGTTTTGTTACCATTTTTACTGGCATTTTTTATTGCATGTTTGCATTGTTTTTAATAACATCAATAATTACTTAATCACTTTTTTGTTGCCATTTTGTTGTACTTATCTCTATGTTATTTTCTAACAGGAGGTCCCCTTTCAGCCTTGTGCTATGGGACCTCCTTCTGTATATACTAACACTAATGCGTGTATATTTTTGCGACAAAAAAAGATTTGATTTGATTTGATGAGGAAACAGAGCGAGGCACGAAGTGCAAATCATAACCCAGGTATCTAGGAAACATCTAAACCAAACAAGTTGATTTCTTAACAAATAGTCCTGAAAACATGTGCAAGGCTCCGAACTTGGTTTACAGCGTAACACCAGAAACACAAAACAAGAAACCAGAAACAAGGAAGGAGCTAAAGAGAAAGAAAAGACGGCGCTGACTCTCAATTGATTTTTATAGAAAATTGAATTGTGAAATATATATATAGCAAGTCTACAAAACTGTGGCATTTTGGCAGCGTGGTCATACATGCATACAAATCAAGATCGACACAAGTAATCAAAGTCCTTCTCATGCAGAAAAACTGAGGCTTCACTGATACAGCTCTTGTTTTTAACCGATATATTATAAGCCCCAGCAATTTCCATAGTCAATTGCATGTTTAAAAATGACGGTGGTTTTGTTAATGATAGGACGACGCCCAAGGACGACACCCACATGACCTGCAGTGAACCGGCAGATGAAGTTGCGCAACCCCTTGAAGTGAGAGCTCATGCTCTTTCAAGCCGAACATTGACACAACGCTTCGTTTGTCCTACGCACTTTCCACCACATGATAATGGAATGCCATACACAGCGCCTTTAACTCAGGCGATGTACTTGTTCTTGTGATTAATCGTGCATTTGCCTCACAAATTGCTAACTTTCAACAAGATATTGCAAGTTAGAAAGGGGAGAGCGACATGAATAATTAAGTACATTTAAGAAACATCCAAGCCCAAAAAATTTTTGCCTAGCTATGCGGTGTCATGTTATCTGCTATAGAAACCGTGCTACAGCTGGGTGATATGTCATCCAGTGACTTTGAAATATTCTGCATTTTTCTCTGTCTGCTATTTCAGTCGGATATGTATTTCACTAGAGCTCAGAATAGCGTCAGGCAATGATTGGATGGAAAAAAAGGAAAAAAAAAAGATAAGTTCCTGGTTGCTGGAGGCACTTTTGAGTGATTTATACAACTGCAATGCTTTCTTTTCAGGCTAGTAAGTTTACCGGACCTCCATTTTATATTTGTCCTTTTCAACAGTCCGCCATATCTCCATCTAACTGTGCAGGTGCAGCAGATGCTGTTGCAGCAGTTGGTGAAGGATAACAGCTGTGCCACCAATGCAACTGGCAGCATCCTTGCCTACACACCGTTGTCACCCACGCCTGTGGTTGCAACCAGTCCTCAAGGAGCTCCCCTGTTGGCTGCCACATCAGCTGCTGGGATTCCCCTCGTCTTGGAAGCTGACAAGTTGAGCAGGTGTGTGTCTTTGCCTTCACATTGTACTTGAAGAAGGAGGTGCAACCATGAATCAAGCAATGGAAGGGAAACTGGCGGCCACCATTTTTCGTAGCGCGTATTTCTCTGAAAGGAAGTTTCTTAGTTGACGAAAAGTTTATGCTGGTCTGGGGATAGGTCACTGGACCAGTGCTATTCTGGGGCAGTCTCTCTACCAACCGGGCTGACCAGGAAACTAACTAGCATTGCTAGCCTGCTGGTTAGCTCAATTGGTAGAGCAACGAGGGTGTGCGTTGGTGCTACGAAAACAGGTAATAGTCAATTTCACTTGTTTAACTATTACACCACCTTGTGAAATTTCACAGGTGGTGGTAGGTCATGCAGGGTGTTTCAAGAAATGTGTTCAATATTCTTAAAAAACCAGGAAAAGGCGCTATTTGCTCGCTGTCCTCACATTTCCCTTTTATGTAGCGGCAGGCATCTTAAGAGGGTTGAAGACATAGTTTAAAACAGTAAATGGGAACGTTCAATTAACGAACTTTTTAATCAGTGGAGTTAAGTCAAATGTGAGAATTGAAATCCTTCATGCGAAGAACCCATTTTCACTTTGACATTTCGGGAAAGTGGCCTCTAGTAATAACTGCGAGTTAAGGAAATTCTCCTAAATTCTGCAGTGTAGAAGAAGAACATCAGAACGTTAGTGTAGAAGAACATCTCAAATTTTGAAAGCTCAAAATCTTCGGCGTCAGATTTTTCGGATTTTCTGCCCAAATTTCAGATCTGAAACCGCATTATTTAAGGCCCCACATCTGCCACATCTATCATCTTTATGTTGGAACCAGCGTGTTTCGGAGTCTCTTCATTTGCAACCTTGCCATTGTTTTAAATCTGATTATCCGTTTCTAGTCGTGCTTCCATGCCCTGAAGCGTTGTTCGAACCTTTTTGCTCACTGCTACTGCTTTTGTGTGGGGATGTTGAGTGCAACTTGGGTCCTAATGAATCATCGGCTGCTCTTGCGGAAGTTTTTAAAACTGTCAAAGATTTAAATGAGCAATCAATCAGAATGGAAACAGAACAAAAATCAGTTGCTGAAACGGTGTGTGAGCTAAAAGACCAGCAGAAAAACACTTTTCAAGCCATATCTGATATAAAGGCAGGGTTAGAGGCTGTTGAAGGCCAGACTACATTACTTCAGCAATGTCGGGCCGATTTCAGTGAGCTACATGATAAATTTAATCGACTTGAGTCGGAAGCCTGCGCGCTGCGCTATCGGCTAGACGACGCAGAGGACCGTTCTCGACGAGATAATCTAGTTTTTTATCGCATAACAGATGTTGAAAACGAGGCGTATACTGAATCTGAAGCTAAAGTTTTGAGCGTCATTAATGATAAACTGAATCTGAGCCTTAACAGCGATAGCATTATACGCGCTCACAGGCTCGGTCGGTTTATGAAAATGAAAACACGGCCGATCATTATCAAATTTGCTGCATACAAGGAAAAAGAAACGGTTCTTGCTAAGTGTTCCTTGCTTAAAAATAGTGGCTTTGCTCTCAGTGAGGATTTCTGCCCCGCCTTGCACGAAAAAAAAAAAAAGTTAAGAGAGCATGCCAAAAGCCTGGGTACGCCATATAAACTTGGGTACAAAAAACTGCATGTTGGCGGTAAATCCTTTGGCTACAATGACAAAGGTGACACCATTGTTGAGATCGGTGTCTCGAAGGTTGCATCAAATTCGCATGGTACAACCTCTCGAGCACTCCGCTCTGGCCGCCTTCTTCAACATAAAGATCGCTAGGGACACGGGAGGGGAAACGGTGCTACTCGCTCGAGATTAGAATTTTCTATTTTATATACTAACATTCATAGTATCTACCGCAAAAAGGATGAGTTATGAACAGTAATTAACGATATGAAAGTCGATCTCATCGCACTAACTGAAACATGGCTTACCAGCAAGATATCTAACACCGAATTGTTTCATTGTGAAAAAAGGTTTGTAGTCTACCGCAGTGACCACTCTGACAGAGTGGGGGGTGGAGTTTTGCTGGCCGTGGACGAGTGTTTTGATTGCTACTGCATACCAATTATCTCGAACATTGAATCTGTGTGGTGCTGCTTCAATGTAAATTTCAGGAAAGTTATTGTTGGGGTCTGCTATCGCTCCCCATCAAGCGATGCGTCATTTTGTGATAGCTTGCACGACTGCTTAAATCAAGTCACTGTTCGTTATCCCAATGCACAACTCATACTAATGGGGGACTTCAACTAGCTGAATATTGATTGGTTGCACGCATGCCCATTTACCAACCCACCGACAACTGAGGCCAACCAGTTTATCACCACCCGCATGGATTTTGGCTTAACACAAATCGTCACCTCACCCACACGTGTCACTCAAACTTCTTCCCTTATAGACCTAGTACTAACGTCATCAGAGACTGTCATGACACCTGTATTGCACATGCCTGGCCGGAGCTACCATAGTATTTTGCATTTCACGTTCGATTTGTCGCATGCACCATCAGTAAAACAGTCCAAGAACATCAGAGACTACAACAAGGGTAACTATCTAGCCATTAATAATGAACTGAGCTCCTTTTTAGACATTTTCTTACCAGGTTATCTTGGGCGCTCAGTAGAAACTAATTGGTGTTTGTTCTGTCATAAAGTGTCAGAACTAATTCATCTCCATATTCCTCTTCGCTGGGTGTACTCCAATAACTAAGCTCCATGGTATAACAGATACTTAAAACCAACTTTCTAACAGGAAAAAAAGACATTTTAGAATCGCTAAGTATTCACTTAAACCGGCCAACTGGACAAAGTACAAGACAGCCTCTTTAGCATATTTGCGAGCGCTAAAGGCTACTATATCCTCGTTCTTCAATGTAACCCTGCCGAATTTTTTGAAGACTAACCCTAAACATTTCTGGAGTACAATGAAACCACTTAGCACCAGTAAAGTATCATTGCTTACACTCATCGGCGATACTGTTCCCGACCATCTTTGTTCTACTGTGCTAAACGATACATTCATTAAGTCGTTTTCTTCATCTAATTATATCCAACGTTCTGAGCTTCAGTCGTACAATCATTTTGCGATGGATCCCATCACGTTTGACCCGCGTGGCATCGCCACGATTATCGACAACCTGAAACTAACGTGTTCTCACGGTATTGATGGAATTAATAGTAAATTTTTAAAGAATACCAAAGAATACAGTTCCATCATACTGAAATGCATATTTTCACAATCGTATCATGATGGAGTACTACCTGAAGACTGGAGAACTGCTGCGATTATTCCAGTACATAAAGGCGGTGATAAACATAGTCCATCTATCGTCCTATATCTCTGACGTGTACCATGCAAAATAATGGAACATGAAATATTTTTCATCTTGTTAATTTTCGAGAGGATAATAGCTTCTTCTCTTCAACTCAGCATGGCTTTCGAAAGATTTTTTCATGATACTCAACTAATTTCTTTTACTAATGATTTGCCTTTATCTTTGGACTCTGCTTCTTTAACTGACTGTATATTTCTTGAGTTTGCTAAAGCGTTTGATAAAGTTAACCATTCCCTGCTCTTATATAAACTAAGTGTTCTAAAAATTGACCCTGCAGTTTTTAACTGGATTCGTGCATTCCTTTCTTCTCATGTTCAATTTGTCAGCACTAACGATGTTAATTCTTCCATTGCACCTGTTGATTCTGGGGTTCCTCAAGGACCAGTACTTGGCCCCCTACTATTCCTAATCTATATAAATGACTTACCTTCTACTGTTACTTCCAAAATTTGTTTGTTCGCTGATGACTGTGTGATTCACCGTAAAATATCTAATAACAATGATATTCATTCTCTGCAGGCTGATCTCAATAACATACTTCATTGGTGTCATATTTGGAAAATGGAACTAAGCATTAAAAAATGCAACTCTATGAGGATTTCTCGGTCGAGTATAACTTGTCCAACTTACTTTCTTCACAGTCACCCCCTTGAAGCTGTAACATCTTACCGGTACATCTTACCACATAACTAACACTTTGTCCTGGAAATTACATACAGAACATATAGCGTCCAAAGCTAATAAAACACTGGGTTACCTTCAAAGAAACTTCTTTCTTGCTCCATCGTCACTAAAGTTATTACTATATACCACATACGTCCGTCCTCAAATAGAATACGCTTCATCTGTTTGGGACTCCGGTCAGGTAACATTATCACACATATTGGAATCCGTTCAAAATCGTTTAGCTCGTTTCATTTTGGCTAACTACCATCGTTCAGCTACTGTCACTCAAATGAAGGCATCTCTAAACCTCATCCCACTAGTTACCCGCCGAAAGCGCACTCGCATTTGCCTGTTTCATAAAATATTTTATCATAATCCGAAACTCCGTTCCCGTTTAATCCAAGCTGCTCCCTTCATTTCTCTTCGCCGTAATCACCAACAAAAAGTCACAGTCCCCCATTGCAACACAGTAATCACCAACAAAAAGTCACAGTCCCCCATTGCAACACAGTAACATATGCCCAATCATATCTCCCAAGAACTTGTAAGTAATGAATGGAATTCCCTGCCTGCATCAATAACAAGCATTAATGAATCCATTCAATTTAAGAATATCCTTAAAACAATGATTACCTAATTATTCCCTGTATGTTTGTTGAACAGCTTATTTGTATTGCTTTGTGCCTTCACCACGTAATAAAAATAAAATTAGTGTTATCATTTGCTTTATTATGATGCGAGTTGTTAGGAGTATTCATCTTTGTATACCAATTAGTGACAATATTTTTATGCCATTTGCTTTGTATTCCTTGTTTTTCATTGTTGTGCATGCCCTTCCCCTCTGAAATGTACTGTGTACCCTGAGGGTAAAATAAATAAATAAATAAACCATAACGGAGGTTGAAAGGCAGCTTTGCCGCAATACGAAAACGTGATGAGGTGATGCATTTGGAAAATTTGACGGGGTTCCTTTGAATTGAATGACTGCATGTGTCTGAGAAGTTCTTCCATAGTGGAGCCTTAAAGGCAGCTTTTTCATTGTATGAGAGTGCAATAAGTTGAGGCGTACTGAAAATCAGAAAGAGCCCTTTTCCAATTAGACGTTGACTGTATTTGTCTTTGGAAAGTTTAAATAATAAAATTTCAGTGCGAATAGAATCGAATAGCAAACACTATTAGAAAAATATTTAAATTGGTAATATTTGCACACCCCTACTCTATTATCTTCACTTAACACTGTTGCCCGCTGCCCAGTTTGTATGATCTATTCCTGCAGTCCTGTGAATATGTTTCATAGGGCATTTGATAGCTATTCTTACCAGACTTTTTAACTGCTGTGCATTGTGCTTTTACATGGTGTAGTGAATTGGTGGTTGGGGTGCTATGGCGGCTTTCTTAGTGGGGAGGGGTGGGCAAATATTGTGAGGCTTGCCTGTTTATTTTTTAGTGGTGAGCTAAGTTAATTTTAACACCTTTTCATAGCAGCATGTCCTAGCCTCTCTTTTACATAGAAATGTTTCAAGTCACTAAACCAGTCCATCCATTGGCTGCATTTGCAAATGTGACCAGACCTGGATGGGCAGGCATCGTTGCTATAGAAAGCTAGTCAGGTTATAAAGACATAGCACGGAAGACTTGCTTTGTTTGTTGCACCATGAATTGACCAATGCTCTTTACTACGTAATAAGCATACTTTTGAAGCAGAATTGTCATTCAAGCATATTTTCTTTTGTTCACATGACAGGGTGGTGACAGTGAAGCCTCCAAACAAGGGAGAAAAACGCAATGCCCACAACGCGATTGAGCGCCGCTACAGAAGCAGCATCAACGACAAGATTGTGGAGCTGAAGAACATGGTGGTTGGGCCCGAAGCCAAGGTAACGATGAAGCATGCAAAACGCCTATTTGAGCGCCAGGGCTGGGCAGTATACAAGATAAATATGTTTTAGATACTATATTACAGTCGAATACATTTACAGTGAAGCCACGCTACTACGTACCTGCCGGGGATGGCGGCATAACTGCGCACTAAGCGTACTATGCATTAACCACCAGCTACAAATTTGCATCCTCTGACATGCGCCGTCGCCGCCAACAAAAGTAGAAACACAATGCCGCAGAAAATATTGTCCGAAGTGCCCACCGCAAGACCATTTCTTTCTTTTTGCGTAGATACAGAAAAGTTTCTGACTCTCGAATAACCGCCCGATAACACGCGATCGAGACGCCGTTGAGCATTTCGAAACCACCGCGGGATCCGGGATACGCAGCGTGGTACAGCGATGAAACCATAGAGGAAGGAAACAACTTTCCTTCCTGCGTGGACAGAAATAACACAATCGGCTGCCCATGATGCAACTGTTTCGCGGTCTGCTTCTAAGCAAAAATCTGACGCAGTTTTCTTTTTTAAAACGCTGTACAGTCGCAGAGAGCCAAATCGTTTACTGCATGGCTAGTTGTGTGCAGCACTTCGCTCACTCTGCGCACACCGTGACTGCCGATCCGCTTGCTGCACAGATTTGGCGAGTAGCCTGCTGGGTCAATGCGGCGCCGAAGAGCTTTCCGCAAGCAATGTGTTCTCCGTGATGCTCTAGCAGTTCTGGCAGCAAACGGAGGTGCATTTCGGCTGTCACTAAGTAAAAGTGTGCAACATGGTAACAACAGCGCTATGCCCGCTGTACGGTACGCGTGTTGGCATAATACAGCAAGGTTTCGCGGTGCCCGCGATCCACAAGGCTAAACTCCGTGACAGCGAGCTGCTTGCATTTCTGTGAAGCGGTGCACGCTTGAACACGGTCCCGTAAAACAAAAGTGGTAGCGATCGGCGGCCCAGCGCGTTCAGGTAGCCACCCAATAAAAGCGTGCAGTAGGCCTAAAGTGTTGCTAGGCCACATGCGTGCCTGAGGCATGGTCTGAGGAGATAAACGCGGATGCTTACTGTGATAAGGCTTTTCGCCGGTGATAAGTTATAGCGGCACATTTGTCGGTGGTCGCCACCTCGTCTTCGTTCTACGAATGCATTGGTCTGCGAATGCATTGGTCTCTATGAGACTGTCGGGGATTCGTCTCAACTATGTTTTAACCGTTAGTACGCTTAAAGTGGGTATGCACTAACGAGGTTTGGCTGTATAACAAACTTGAAAGAGCCGCGATAAGGTGCCGTTATATCAGTAGTTCGTTGTATATGGAATCGCCCTTTATAAAGCACCGCCACAATCACGCAGAAGTCGGGATCTTTGATTGGCCAGTCTCTGTTGGTATATTGTGGCATCGGCGAGTTGAGCTTTACAGTGAACTTTTGTATGATTAAAAGTTAGCACTTCTTGCATTCGAATGCATCGTTCAGTTAGTCGTCAGCGGTTGAGACGCAGAGAACGATGTCACCCGCCGCGGTGGTCTAGTGGCTAAGGTACTCGGCTGCTGACCCGCACGTCGCGGGTTCGAATCCTGGCTGCGGCGGCTGCATTTCCGATGGAGGCGGAAATGTTGTAGGCCCATGTACTCAGATTTGGGTGCACATTAAAGAACCCCAGGTGGTCGAAATTTTTGGAGCCCTCCACTATGGCGTCTCTCATAATCATATGGTGGTTTTGAGACGTTAAACCCCACATATCAATCAATCGGAGAACGATGTCGGACAAGTTTGCCTTGTGAAAGCTGATCGCAAGTTTTATTCCTGCCTCCTATTTCTCATTTGCCTCACTGCTTTTCAGCCAGTGAAAAAACGCCTGGAAAATTAGCTCGCAGTGTCTGAAATCTGTGCACTAACTGGGGTCTATATCTTTGTTTCACATGCTCTTTCACATGCTCTAGAATACCTGTTTTACCTTCTTTCATCGCTTTGTATGTGCCATATTTTGTTACGACCCTCTCGGAAGTGTTCATTGTAGGGCTGTACAAATAGTAAAAATTTGGTTGTGGAGCGAACTTGAATATTTAGGTGGGAGTGTGAATGAGATGTCAGCATAGAAGTGTTGCTTTTGGCTAAGATGATGAAGTGCTGTAGGGGTGGTGTTTCATAGTTGTCTTATCAAGAATGAAGTAATGCACAGGCCGAATTCTACTTATGTACATGATTTGGTGCAGTTGCAGTGTGTGGGGTCTCGGCGAGGCGAACGTGCGCATTGCCATGCCACGCTCTTGGAGTGAACGGACACAGCAGACGCGGTCGGTACAAAGCATACAACATACATACATTTATTAACTAATTTAGACGACGATATCGTCCGCCAAATGAGACACCAATTTCAATTAACACGCTACCATACAAACAACATAACGCAGTGACACACTAAACACACAATAACATGATAAACACACACTAACACACCCAACACACTAACACATACGCAAGGCGGCGTCGCCAACGCCTGACTTTCCACGTGGGACCCCGGCGCGAAGCCCGCGGTGCCGAGCACCGGGGACCCACGCTACAGACAACCGTTCGCGGCAGCCGCCACGCGCAGAAGAGGCTCGCTCAACTCTCGGCCACCACCAAGGCCTGCCTTCCGCCAGGGGCCACCGCCGGCGCTACCACTCTACCAACAGTGGTACTCAAACCGAACACAACGCCATCTATCGTCCGGCGGTGGTCACCACCGAAATAAAGCCTTGGGGCGAACACGCGCGCCACGCGGCGCAGACAACCTTACAGGGGGGGTGTCAGCACCCTCACAAGTGTTGCCGACAACACTTAACTTGTGAAAGAAAAAGACAGTGTTTCTTCCTCTTTCAACTTCTTTGGTATCCCTAATGATGTGGCAGATGAGGGTGTACTTTATTCTAGTCTGGACTTTGTAGCGTACATTGGGCGCCAGTGTAGTGTGGCCCCACGTTGGGCGGCAGTGTAGTGTAAACATACCCCGAAGGAGTACGGCCACTAGCGGGGGTTCGGTCTTAGCGAGCCACAGGGCTGCGTTCGCCATCGCCTCACTTCACTAATGCTGCTGCACACCTGCGTTCGGACAGCCAAGGTGATTAGCGCAACGCGGCAAATACACAGTACTGCTCATAAACATTTCGCAACACTTTATTGCCTCCAGCAACAGCGAAAATGCAGTTCAGCGCCCGTTGCAAAAAGCAGTGGGAAAGCAAACAGGGCTTATCCATGCCACGGGCGAAAGTACTACACAAAGGTGCCGTGAGCATGCTCTGTGGGCAAAAGGGTTCACAATGATTCACCGCTGGGGTAAATGGGCACTCGCGACTGCTACCCGCTCTCACAATCAGTGACAACAGGGCCTGATTGCTTGAACGAAGTCAAACTCCACTCGCGTTGGCTTCGAGAGGTACGGGTCAGCGTAGTACGACCAGGCGCAAACACACCACACTGCTCTTTGGCCTAGTGTTCGGAAAGGGCAACGAAAGGCATGCGTTCGCCGTGGGCGCAAAGCACCGTTGGCGAGCCCGAGCGAGCTCCAAACAAAGGGAGCCTACAGACGGAAAGGAAAAGCCGTGCTCATCCTTCGATGTCCTAAAATGTTCTTTCACTCCCGCCTGGGGTGCGCAAAATGCCTTGGGAGACTCGAGCACAGCGCGACCATTGACATCTGGTGTGATCCGGTGCCAGGTCAGAGGGTCAACGTCGCTCCCGCTCTCCCAGTAGCGACGGACTGCCGAGAAGGGGATAGTCATGTTAGGACATGAGAATGACAAAAATAGGCGAAAAAGCCCGAGCAATGGTGGTGGGCTAGCCTCAATTTCCACATCTTTCAAATCTGCCTAATAAACATCAATGGATAAAAGCATCTGAAATTCAGCATGCTTAAAATCTTTAGAGTCTGATTTTTCAGGCTTTCTGCCGCATTTTCATGTTCGAAACAGCATTTGAGCCCCCATCTCTGCCAGATCCGTCATCTCTATGTTTGAATCGGCGTTTTCTAAAGTCAGTACATTGCGCCCGTAGCAGAGCTTGAAAGGCAAGTAGCTTTGCAGCAATATGAGAGTCGGATGAGTGATGCATCTTTTGAAAAATTTGACGGGGCCATTCTCAGTCTGGCGTTGACTGTATTTGTCTTTGGGAAGCTCGAATAGTAAGATTTCAGTGCAAATTAAATCGAATAGCAAACACTATTTGAAAAATAGTAGAAATTTTGAATATTTGCACACTCATAATTCCTTATAAAAGTAGGAGGCTTTGGAAAATGCTTGCTCTAAGCGCACACAGTTTCAGTTTTCAGTATAATAAAGTTCTACTTGCATCAAAGCATGGTCATTGTAGCCGATAAATTGTTATAAGTGGGTTTGACTGTATACCAGTGCCACATGACTCTTTCAATTGCAATTGGGGCTGATCAGTGCCGAGCTTCTTGATTGCGATGACAAGTTGGTCGCTGCTACGTGGTGCAGCCTAATCCATATAGTGTGGGGCAGAGAACTGCCAAATTGCAATCAGGAAGCGAGATTACGATGAGCAGATTGCAATAGTCCTAGCCTCAATCGGGCCTGATCACGATTAATTAAAAGAGGTCATCTAGCCGCACCTGATCTGGATTCAGCCTAATCTGAATCAGCCCTGACTGCAATACAAAATGCCGGGGTGACACCGGTATTAGGTACTATCTCGGATACTCTTAGGCTGTCGTGTCTCTGTGTAGTGATATGTCACGCAGGTACATTAGTATTTTCAATACATGAAATAATGTATTGAATAGGCTTGTGCGAATAATGAGTTTTTCGGTTCGAAGCAAATTTGAAGCGAAAAATGATTTCAGTCGAATAATTTCAAATCAAAATCGAATAGTATGTATATTTCATATTATTAACAAAAATGGGTGTGTTTGTCAGGATTATTTAACTAACTTGCTCAATATTTTTTTAAAAATTGAAACAAGGCCTGTGCAAACGCCTTTTTTTTTACATCAAGGGAAGTAAAAACAGCTTTAAACAGCAGCAGGATAAGTTTTCCAGTAAAATGTTAGTGATTTCCTGTAAAATATGTTATGTTTGCTATACTTAGAGCATATAAGTCAATATAATGAGCTTTCAAACTGAAAAAGAAAAGTATCTATGTGAGGGTGATATCTTCATTTAACCTTGGAGTGGTGCTTTTCTGCAGTGTGGATTTCTTCTGGATACGTGTTTTGAAGGCTTAGCATTACTCTTTCAAAACCACTTCTACAAAAAGTTACATACGATCGTGTTAACTATTATATGCCTGTACAGATGCTTTCACGGCTTATCCCACCGCTGCAGTGAAACCACCTTTACAGGTTGCAACATGTGGACTAGTATGCACCTATTCGTTTGTCTGGAATAATTTGAAATTTTCAATAGTTTAAATTTGATTCGAAAATAGTGTTTTTCCATTCTATTCTATTCGAAGTGAGTTTGAACCTTTCGTTATTCATTCGAATATTTGCTCAAGCCTAGTGTTGAAGTATCTCAGGGTACAATTGAAAACTATCGCATTGGATACAGTTATTGTAGTTATTGGATACAGTTATTGGATACAGTTATTGTAGTATTGGATACAGTTATTGGATACGCATTGGATACAGTTATTGTGCCAGGCATGTCGAAGTAAAGAGGCGTCTGATCGGCATTCCCGATTTGCCCAAGCAGGTAGCCGTTGTTGTGCCGCAAGTTTAGGACGAACCTCTGAAAACTGTGAAGGTTTTCATCGTACTCCTTAAAAAACTTTTTGCATATGCCCGTTCGCCTTTGGAGGGAAAAGCCTTTCCTCTTCATAAAGTTAGTTAGCCAGCACCTGCTCGCTTTAAACTGGCTCCGCATTAGACCTTTTTCTAAGGCTAACTGTATAGCCCGCCCTTGGAGCAGTTCTGTCGTCACGGGCTGCTCGCTGCTCAAGCGCATACTCGCCGAGCAACTCTTCAATTTGCGGAAACCGACCCTGCTGTGGTCCACTGAAGCCTTTGCGTAAATGTTTGCTGTCGACAATATTCTGCTTTTGTTTCCACCAGTCCCGCACGCAAGCTTCGGGAACTCCGAACGATCGCGATACGGCCCGATTTCCGTCCGTTTCTGCACACGCGATGACTTTTCTTTTAAAAGCGGCACCGTGGTGCACTAGAGTTTTTGGAGTCGGCCCTTCCATGCCGTCAATGCTAATGCACTACAAGATGGCGAACTCCTCAGCACACGTACGAAGTGCCGCACATGGGAAACACATAGGCACAAATGGCCGATGCACGTAGGGGGCGGCCATTTCGGAAATGCCGATGGCAATAGAATGACCGTATTCATTTTTTTTTCATACTCGATTCTAACGCGCATGCGATTCATGAACTCGCTTAACCGGAAAAAAGATGCGCGTTAGATTCGAGTAATTACGGTATATTTGCCCAGCCTATAGAGTGCTACCTCTTCCGAGTGAAAAAATTACGCCTTGTTGTTGAACTAATTTTGGTTCCTTTTGCAGTTAAACAAGTCAGCTGTACTGAGGAAGGCCATAGACTATTTGCGCTTCCTACAGAATGCTAACGCCAAGCTCAAGCAGGAAAACATTATGCTCAAGCTGGCTGTCCAACAGACGGGTGCGAATGGTAAGTACAGTGGCAATTCGTTCCTGCACTCGTCGTCAGGCACAATACGGTTCGTTGGCAACTTTCTCATCTGCGGACTTGTAATTAAGGAAATTTGTTTGCGTAAGTTTCTGTGAGTTTATGCAAAGAGTCATTTTGACAGAGGAAGAAATGAACTTGGCCGAACGCACTCAGCATCAATGCTCTGTGACTGCTATGAAAGCGGAAAACCACGAAGACAGGTTACCTTGGCAACTGGACAACGGTGGCAGTTTCCTCGTCTCCCACCGATTGCCACTAGGGTGATGAGGCTCTCCGGAAGCTTGACATTAGCCAGAAATAGTGAAGTTACGCCTGCTAAATGTTTCATGATCTGTGTTCTGGCTGTACTCCTGCTGGTGTTATAACATGACCTGCATGCTCCTCGCAGTGTCTGATATACTGCTGGACCAGAAAAGCCTCATGGCCGAAGCAAGCCAAGAGGCTGTGCTCACTCCACCTTCGTCGGACATGAGCTCGCCCGATCACGCCATGGAGGACACGAGCAGCTCGGAGCCACCCTCACCGCCTCAGAGTCCCTCGGAAACCAAGTTCCCGAGCCCTCTGCGTGGTGCCATGATGCACACCTCCCGTATGGCTCTGTGCATCTTCACGTTTGCTTTTTTCGCATTGAATCCCTTTGGCTGGCTGCTGGCGGGCCCGTCAGGCGACACTTACACACTGGCCTCTTCACACGCTGCTGGACGGACCATCCTGTCAGCGGAAGGTGATGGTGGTAAGCTCTGCTATTTCATAGTAACCACCACCATGGATTCCCGACATATACAGAGTACAAGTAACTTTGAGAAGGCCTTTCGTAGACCAGTTGACGATTCCTGTTTGGGAAAAGCAACCACAAAAACAGACGGGCGACATGAAGAGACAACACAGTGTCCTTTCTTGTCTTGCCTTTTTCTGTGTGTCGTGTGTTTCTGCGGTTACTTATTGCAAGTCATAGATGACATCGTCGAGGTGGTTTCTGCATTCTTGAGGGTGCATCAGTGTTGTTCCATGCACCTCACAAGCTTTACTTGGTTGGAGTTTATGCTCACCTTAAATCTCTGTCACCCAGGCGAGACTTGAAAATGGTCCTAGCTCATTAGACTGCTGTTTGACTGTAGTCTTGATTTAAACGAGTGTTACCGTATACACGCATGTAAGGGCCGCACCCGTGTAAGGGCCGCATCCCGTTTTTAAGAAGCACATAGTCAAAAAAAAAAGAAAAAGTTGTGTGTAAGGGCCGCATCCGCACTTTCCTTGGCCCATGCGTATTCAAAATGCGCGCGCGTGTGTGAGCTACTAGGCGTTGTCAGTAGATGGCGTTAGAGAACGCAATTCTCATCATCACCATTTAGTACATCTTTAGAATAATTTGTTGGTTTTCTTCATGCTAATATGTTCATGAAGTTGGCTAAAAATTTTTAGTTTTTTTAGTAGTGGTCATACACCCGCCAACTAAAGGTTAAAGCAGGATTTTATCTTTAACTTTTGACACTTCTATACAAACGCGCTATCCATATCGGCATTAGCATCACCAACTTTGGTGTTTGTGCGTTGTTCGGTCATTGTGCTGTTCAGCCTGCCATGTGCTCGAGTTTTGCGCACCGTTGAATGACTCTGGGACTCCAGCTAGTTTTCTGCGGGGCGTTTACGTTTTCGCACGATGGGCAAGCAGCTGAATAGCTATACAGCTGGCTATAAGTTGAAGGAGATCGAGTTTGCCCTCGAGCACGGGAAACGGGCCGCCGGCAGAAAATTCGACGTTGACGAGAAGTGTGTTCGACGTTGATGCGCCCAGAAGAAAGCCTTGCAGAACACCAATATCAAAAAGCGCGCTTTCCGAGGAAAACAGTGCAAGTATCCCGATTTGGAAGAGGAGTTGCTCCGCTATGTGACTGAGGTGCGGAACGATGGTTTTGCGCTCACTACAGATATGCTGCGCATGAAGGCACTAGCCTTGGCACGTGCGAAAAAATATACCGGCCGGGGATTTCAAGGCTAGTGCTGGCTGGGTGCGAAGGTTTATGAAAAGAAAGGGACTCTCTTTTCGGCGAAGGACCACGCTGTGCCAGCGGCTGCCAGAAGACTATACCGACAAGGTGCTTAGTTTTCACAAGCATGTCATCGGCCTGCGCCATCAGCACAGTTATTTGTTGTCGCAAATAGCGAACGCTGATCAAACTCTTGTGTGGTTTGACTCTCCCGAGAACTACACAGTCGAAGTAAAAGGCAAGAAGAGTGTCGCCGTGCGGACCACCGGCGCTGAGTGCCAACGCTGCACCGTGATGCTTTGTGTGACCGCGGACGGGCAGAAGCTACCCCCGTACGTTGTTTTGAAAAGGAAAAGAATTCCGAACGAAGTTTCCCCAAGGGCATCATAGTTAGAGCCCAAGAGAAGGGATGGATGAACGATGATTTGGTGCTAGACTGGGTGAAAAGTGTTTGGCAGAACAGACCGGGAGCTTTGTTGGCCAAACATTCACTTTTAGTATTGGATAGTTTCCGCGGCCACCTTACCGATAAGGTGAAGGAGCAGCTGCGCCGTGTCGGCACAGACATGGCCGTGATTCCAGGCGGCCTCACAGGAATGTTGCAACCATTGGATGTGAGCGTGAATAGACCATTCAAAGTTGAATTCCGAAGACTCTACACGGAATGGATGGCAACCGGCAACCATGAGCACACGCCGACCGGACGGCTGAAGAGAGCACCGCTTGCTACTGTTCTCGGTTGGATATTGTCGGCGTGGAGCTCGGTGTCAACGGACATTGTGTCCCGAAGTTTTAAGGTCACTGGGATATCCAACAGCCTGGATGGCACCGAAGATGACTGTTTGTGGAATGATGGTGCTCCGGAACACACTATCTCGGACTCCGAGTTAGAGGACTCGTCGAGTGACGGCGATTAAGCGCTACGTGGCATACTACGCTCTTCGTTCACTAACTGGTACGTTGTTTTTAGTTCACCAAAAAAAAAGTTCCGTGTATGGGCCGCAACCTGAAAATTAGCCCTCACTTCCTGAAAAAAAAGTGCGGCCCTTACACGCGTTTATACGGTATTTTGTATTCAAGTTATTGGGTAATGATGCTCTCATATCAGAAACCACAAGTATGCATAAGCTTTGCAATTCAGTTTGTGGCATAATAACAAGAATAAGGTTGTAGTGATTTGGAAGAGAGCCTCTTGAATAATAGACTTGTATCTCGGATTTGTATGATTCTGTAGTTTGTCCTTTGTTGAGAGATGTACAAAATCTATGCTTTGGCTTTCAGGAACCTCTTGGCTCGGTGTATCTCCATTGTCTCTCTTGGGTTGGTTCCTAAATATGCTGGTGACTGTGGCTTGCCTTTGGCGTCTCCTGCTGTATGGAGATGGCCTGTCTCAATCGCACGGCAAAGCCAACGCAGCCTTTTGGAGGCATCGCAAACAGGCTGATGCAGATCTCTCCCAGGTTGGTGTGTCTTCAAACTTGTATATTGCGAATTAAGCATAATTAATTACTTGTAATCAGTCACATTCTTGGCAGTCTTGTAATTAAGCTAAGAATCCAGTCGACAGCTGGGTCAGCTGGTTCTACTTACCGTATTTGTACAGTCGAATCTTATTAATTTTAATTCGAACTCACGATGAGGTCCCGTCATAGCTATGTGTATTCCAATGCGCAAAAACGCTCGGTAATTCGAATGCGCAAGAACTTGCGACGGTTAATTCGAACATACCGCGCTTCGAAAATGCTCTCAGAATCCCGCCCAATCCCGCGGCGGTACCTGCGACACCTCAACGCTGCACGTGAAGGAAAAGAAAAGAAAAGGAAAGCAAAGGCTGCGGTGGAATGTTTGCTCTCTCTCAAATGCTGATCTGCGACGCACCTGTGTCACGCTTCTCCTTTTTCCGTCCCCGTCACGTGTCGTCAGATAAAGACCCTTCTCCTTCCGACGCTGCTCGCTGAAAGAGGGAAAAAAAAAAAGCTGTACCGGGGTTGGTTGTGTGGTTGAAGAAAAGGAAAAAGGCACCATCTTCTGCAGCCCTTGTGCCTTGCGAGAGTACGGCTCTGCGCCTTTGAGGAAGGGGGTCTCTCACGCGCCGGTGGCATGCTTCCCCCTTTCCCGTTCCTGCCACGTAACCATTCTCCTTTCAACGGCATGCGCGAAGAGAGAGAGAGAAAAAAAAAAAGCTGCCGTGGAGTGTTGGTTTTCTCTCAAATCATCGAGGAAGGAAAGAGTTTTTTCCTTCCTCCATGTCTCCAATGCCGATCTGCTTCTCTCCACGTGGGGATGCTCCTTTTTTCTCGTCACGTGCTGGCCATGCTGTGGCTCTGCTACGCTGCGTGCGAAATTGATTGGCTCGCTTCAAGGCAAACGTGTGCAGACGTGCATCACTGATTACTTCAAATAATGACAGATGTTTTGTGATTTGTGAATAAATGTAAGTCTCCTGAAACTTACCCCTCGTGTGTTAGCTCAATGCACATGCACCACTGCATGGAGAGCCCTCTGTTTATTTAGCTTTCATTAATGCAAACTTTTTTTAATTCGAACAAATTTGCGGGCCCCTTCAACTTCGAATTATCGAGATTCGACTGTATAATGCATACATACATGTGTGGAGAAATAAATGTTATTGGGGTAAGTAAGTAGAATGAATTAATTACCTTCAATAATTACTCAATTACGTACTTTGCACAGTACAGTGAAATCTGGATACAACGAATGTGAAGGCATCGCTAAAAATTATTCGTTGTCTTGAAAAGCCATTGTTGTGAAAGTACTAAAAATTTGCGCAAAAATAGTAAAAGCAAACACACAAGTTTCCTTACCTGAGCTGTGTGTACATTCGCGATTGTGTTATGCTTTAATAAGCGCAAAAATAGGAAGCGCTAAATATTATGAAACCAGTGCACGTTTATTTGAGGTTGAGCGTGATCCTCTTGGATGTGGGCAGCTCGACTGCTTAAACACGATCTCTTAAGTGTGCATATCCTTCTTATGCGCTGCGAAAGCATCAGGCGTTAAATACAGATTCCTCATGTTGATTTGCACGAACTCTTTTCAATGTCATCTTCAGTCTAGTCACCACTTCCTTATCATGACAAATGGAATGATTCTTATCGATCGTCAGCCAAGCTGATGTGCATGCTTCGTCGTTGCACTGTGCGCAGTGTTCGAGCATTAGTGAAGCGTGCATGTGTAATCATGGGCAACTTCAACCCATAGGTCACTCGTGTGGTATTTTTCACTGTCGTAGCATTCCTTTTGAGCTGCTTCTGTTCAACTACCAACCAAAGGGCTAGAAAACAGCGGGTTATCGAACGGGCAGGTAAAGGTACCCGACAAAAAAAAGGGGGGGGGGGCAACGGGGGGGATGCCTAGCGCGGAAAGCAAGTATCAGGCACTGGCGATAGGGCTATTGCACGTTTGGACAGCGCTAGCCGATAGATAGATGATGATAGTGGCAGGTACGGAGCTGGGCATTACTTTTACAACTGCGAGTAACTTTTTAAAATAGCTATACGTTTTTTTTTTAAGTGTTGTGGAGAAGTAAGGCAGATGAAATTTGATACGTTATTCTGAAACATTTGGTATTCTGAAATTTGTAGTAGTAAAATATTTTATGTCAAACCAACTAACATTTGGAAGGGGATTTTTGAAGTCGTTGATCTAAAAAAAATCGTTAATCTGAGGTTCGCTATAGTGAGATTTCACTGTACTGGTCATGGTTGACTAGTCGTGGCACATGTTGCTATGCTCTTCAAAGCACTGTTCTAAATATTTTCTGGAGCTTTAGCTTTTGGAAAGCATTTACTATTTTCTCTCCAGTGTCCACGCAGTATTTATGGAAGTTAAGGCTGTCAGGCATGTTGGAGCAAGTGCTTTTGCGGAACAAGTGACTCCCACAAAGCCCAGAACTTACACAATTCTTAGGGGTTCTTCGCATATGCTGAACTCTCTCTCTCTCTCCCCCGTTGCGGTGGTCTAGGGGCTAAGGTACTCGGCTGCTGACCCGCAGGTCGCGAGTTCGAATCCCAGCTGCGGCGGCTGCATTTTCGATGGAGGCGGAAATGTTGAAGGCCCGTGTGCTCAGATTTAGGGTGCACGTTAAAGAACCCCAGGTGGTCGAAACTTCCGGAGCCCTCCACTACGGCATCTCTCATAATCATATGGTGGTTTTGGGACGTTAAACCCCACATACCACCTCTCTCTCTCTCTCTTTTTTTTCTGAGAGCCATTTTGAACGCTGGCGCTGATATATGCTACAGGGTCGACCAGAGCAAGCCGCTGAGCAGCTGACTGCCTGCCTGGGGGCTCTGGGTCAGCCACTTGCTGGTGGAAGCCTGCCAGAGGCCCTGTGCGCCGTGGGTTGGCAGGTGCTGCGGCAGCTGCTGCAGTCGGCTCGCGTGGGACTCTGGCTGGAGCGCCAAGCGATGGGTGGCTGGAAACTGGACAAGGCGCAGCGAGCACGAACAGCGGCTCAACTGGCTCTTGCACACCACCAGCTCAGCGAGCTGCACCTTCTCGGTTAGTAAGTGCGGTGTGGGAGGCTGTCCATAGTCAAAGAACGGCCTAGATGTCGCACTGTTGTCCTCGTAGCTTGAAAAGATGGCTCCGTAGTTGGCAGTTGCTCGTGCATGATATCTGACTTAGGTGTCACGCATGCCGCAGTTTGGTTGTGTCTCTTGTTTTGCTTACTACTGCTTCGTATGACACAATGACTCACCGTGGTGGTCTAGTAGTTATGGTGCTCAAATGATGACCGGAAGGTTGCAGGATCAAATCCTGACAGCCACGGCTGCGTTTAGATGGAGGTGAAATGCAAGAGTCGTGGGTGCCCAGACAAACTGTATTTATTTTCACATAATAGGCACACTCGCATAATAGGTGCATAGTTGGGTCGCGAGAAATCGAATCTTTTTATTTTCGCGCATAATTGGCACACTCTGAACTTGGCCATGATCAGTAGTTTCGTACCATGCTCAGTAGTTTCGTACCATGTGTAGAACTGCCACTCGACAGTTGCAGTTCTACACCCTCTTACTGGATCAAGGAAAAATAAAAGAAAAAAAGACCGCGGGTGTGGCTGCACGCACTTCTTATAGAACGTGCGATTGCATCTTCATGAAGTGCACATTGAGTTTCCGGTTGGGAAAAGCAAAGTCGTTACCGCGTTTGCTTCCTCGTCTGCAAATTAAAAAGCTGCTTCCGACACGAGCTTTCGCCTGTGCTGCCACTACGAGGACTCTCACGAGCTTGGCGGACTTCTGTCCCGTTGATTTCCTGGCCGCGAACCTAAACATCGTATCATGCACTGCTCTTGGATTAGTGCTTGAGTGCGATCTTTTCGACGCCCAATCTTCATATCCTCCCACGACAACATGCTGAATCGTAGGCTAGTCCTAATCGCTGTTGCTGCTTTTCAGTTGCGTTCATGGGCAATCAAAGTTGCGGTTTTGTATAGAATCAACATAAATCTTTTCGTTGGCTCTTTTTGAAGGCGCTTATAACACTCGTATGGTGGCTCGCGATTCGATTGCAATGTCTTGGATATGGGGTGCAAGCCCGTGAAATTGAATGATCGGTACCGTTCAGTGCACTAAATTTCGATCGTGATAATGTGCATAATCTGAGTGGTCTGAAACGTAACCGGTGAATTTCTGCGATGGTGCTTTGTTTTTGTAGTTTTTTTTCCTTTAATTTCATTGGCAATACTGGTCTTTCAATAATTTTTGGAAATTCGGATGCTAATTGCGTTGCATACCTCAATTCTCGGACATGGGAGACTGCACACTCAGCACATTTTGTGCTTGTGTAGCCTATGAAGAATGTTGTTTCAGCTGTAGTGTGGATATTCATGACTTTGGGGATGCACATTATCAACGGTCTATGCTGTCTTCATAACAAGATTTTCGGAAATTTCACCCCGCGTAATAGGCGTACCCTGAACTTGGAGCCGGATTTTCTGAAAAAAAGTGTGCCTGTTATGTGAGTAAATACGGTATGTTCCTTAAAGGGACACGAAAGTCAAATAACAATTTACGTCGGAGGGAAAGCTCAATGTATGACAACAATCTAAAATGACAATATTATAACAGTGCCCTACTTACCGAGAAATTAATTGTAAATGCACAAGAACACAAGCACCGTAGTAGGACATTTTAAAAATGACCCTGATGACATCAGACAGACCTTCTACTCTTAATCACTAGTAATCGATCTAACTGCACTAAATAAGGGACGTTCCGTGCAATAAGAAACGCAATAAAACGCTGCTTGTTCGTTTCTGTTTCATCTATGAAAAAAAGAACTGACAGACGTTACTATGGGAAATGATGCGAGTGGTTAAGAAATTCAGTTTTCACGTGGTTACACAGGACAGGTAGTGCCATCTAGCGGGGTGCCGTTGAAACAAAAGCGTCTGCAATCTCGAAGGCCAATGGCGGGAAGTTGATCTATGGCCGTTGCTACTGCTGTGGCTCCCGCTGCTTTCGGTCTGCTGCTACTAGCGCGGTAAAGCCGGGCAAGGTTGTGCATGGCAACAGTGATGTGAGATGGTCGGTCGGTTCGCTTCTTGAGGCGGGTAATTTGAAGTGCGCTAACCCGATGCGGAGCACTAAAGAGTGATTTTATTTCAAAATAGGCCCTTCCTTGGCTCAAAATTAACACTGCGAGGTTTCTGGACCAGCATTTCAACAATCAACGTCGACTTGATAGTTGACTTTAGTGTCCCTTCAAGTGGGCAATATTTCGGGAGCCCTCTACTATGGCATCCCTTATAATAATATGGTGGATGCTAATATCTGGTTGATCTCCCAGCCTTCCTTTTTCTTTCGCTCTTGGTACATAAAATTGTAGCAATTAATATGCGTTTACTTTGTATGGCACTGTATGTGGCTGCACTTAACTCCTTTTGCCAAGGCCCTGCTAGTGTGAGGAACCTACAGTGTGAGGAGCCTACAACAGCAGACCATACGCCTGTGGCTTCGTTATCACCGCCAGTGCGTGCACCACCTTACTACGCACCTCAGCGCCCACCTCGACCAATCTGTTACTACTGCGGCTATCGAGGACATATCGCTCGGTTTTGTCGAAGGCGCCAACAAGACGAGCAACGCGGCTACGCTCCCGAAGAACATCGAAGCTTCCGTCCGACCATGAACTACTTACGGCCACCCTCCCGATCGTCCTATTACCGTTCACCGTCACCTACTTACCATACGGACATGCCTGGGAATTCCCGTACGTCTCGCCGCAGGTCGTCTTCGCCACGTCGCCGTTCAGTGTCGCCTCTACGGCCCGCCTCCCATTCCACGAACGCTCACGCGGAAAACTCCCCAATGCAGTTTTAGGAGGGTAAACTGCATCCCTTGGACTGCTAACAATTTCTCCAGAGCGGCCATCGAATTTGATAGTAGTGTTTGAAGAAGATGTACAGGTGATGATGATTACAAAGAGAATAAAGAGTCATTCGCTTGTCGCGCTCACACTAGTGCTATCTCAAGAATAGTTTATCAAGCGTCAAGCAGCAATTGAAGGAGAATTTGCAGCAGTTATGTATACATATGCTGTATACCTCTTCTGCTGTGTTCTGGCCATGCAGGTCACGTGACAGCTTGGGGACGCTGGCAAGGTGTGGCACATGCTCTGGCATCGGTGAACTGGGCTCAGGTTGCCGGTGCAGAAATGCTTGGCCGCCGTCTTCTCTGCCACATCTACTTGGGAGCCGCCTTGCGTCTTCTCGACTGCTGCCATGTGCGCCTCCTCTTCGCACCTGTGAGTGTCAATACCAGCTGTAGGCAAGACTCTCCAGAGCTGTAGGTGTCAATGGAGGGAGCAAAGGCAGCTATGGGTGTCATTCTTTGATGATCATACTTTGATTGATGAAATTTTGTGGGGCAATGCATTGCTGCCTTACTACGAAAATTCGATTGCCAAAAACAAACAAACAAAAAGAAAATGGTATATAACAAGCATTTTGCTACACTCGTGCGAGTATTCGAGCACTTTGAATGTTAGAGCGGATGTTACAGTGTGTTTGAATTCAATTCGACACAACCTAAGATATTCTAAATTTTGAAGTATATAAAATAGACTAATAGGCACATATTAGCAACTATAGCAAACAGAAAGGACAAAACACTGACGTACCACTGTGGTATAACATGCCAGAGCTCACATTTTTTCAAGTTTGTGAATTGCCACACGTAACTCTTCTTGTAAAGGAAGTTTCACAGCAGTACAGGAGTGCTGCTGTCGTGAAAATGTCAAAAAATATTTGCACTTTTGCAAAGCTTTATTTCAAATGAATACCTCACATCCGTTAGTCATTCAAGTTTAAATGCTTGTTAAACAAACTTTATGCTCTCAGTATGATAAGTTTTGATGCATAATATATTTGTCAGTTATCACTTGCATCCTACTGAAATTTAAGTCCTCCTACTATTCAGTGTTGCTTCCATCTTAACTCGAACCGAAAAGAATGCATCCTCATATACCTTGTTCCAGTTTTAAATAATATTGTTACGTGGAGGTTGTGCAGGTTGGCTGGGTCATGACAAATATGCGCTCATTTTTTAAAATAACATGCGAAATGTACCATTCAGAATAGTTAATCACTCTTTGCTTTGAATTCATTTTAAAGCTCAACATCACTGTTTGCACATCTTTAGTTACACTCTTGACAGAGGTTATCTTGCGCTTGTGTTTACGTGCCTAGTTTAGATCTCCAGAACTTGCAAGTAGGCTTAATTTATCCTGATGCATGCACTCCTATGTCCTCCATAGTCCAGATGTTAGTTTAGCATGCCAAAATAAATTTTTTTGTCTCATGGAGTTCACAGGCCACTATTTCATACACGGTCGAATTCCTCTGCTTTTGAAACGTGGTTGTTTTGTAATATTCAGAGGCTTCTACTGTTCCGTGCCCGGCGTGTGTGGTCGTCGCCAAATGCAGTGCCTGCTGAACTGAAGTGGGTCTTTCAAGAAAATGGTCGCAGCTTCCTCCTCAGTCGAGAGTGGATTCCGCTGCAAGGCCCCTCGGAGGATGCACTCACTCGGAGAGGAGACTGCTGTGAGTACTTTTTTAATTTTTTTGCTTAGGTACTAGTTGTTCCAGCTGGAATGTTGCCTTCTCGGTGCATCATCATTTATCTGGCTTGTTCACAATGACACCATTTCGTTAAATGAACATGGCTTCTCGTGTGCTGTAAAATGGCGAAAAGACATTAGCCTAATGTGGGCCAGGGGATTGACTAGAACACTAGCAAAAGAGAGATGAAGAAACGTGTTTATTCATTTTCTTTTACTCTCAATTCTGGCTCCAGTAAGAATTATGCTTAGAGCAAAATGTGATGCCGAACTTGAAAATTGAAGGAGCTATTGATAACTGCTTACTACAGCTATGTATGATAGTCATATCTTAAAAATTTTTAAATATATTAAGTGTAACTGCGTTTTGCCGCATCAGCTGCGAACACAAACGTGGTGATGTCAACATAATCATGAGCGACCACGAAAGTTTGCATTCTTACTACATAAGTGCACCAACTCAAAGCAATGCTGCAGACCTAACCACGGTAGATGCAATCACAGATATTAACAATGCAGTTCTAAGGCATGTGTGCGGCCAGTTTGCACTACATGGAATGGAACTACCTTTCGCTACAATCATTGATAGCGAATAAGCTCTGAAAGTTCACAGCTAACGCATTGGAAGGCCATAAAGTTCTAAAACTTCCCAAAGTGCTTCGGCTTTTCTGTCACTGGCTAATGACTGTTGTATTGAAGAGCATCGGCCCTTAGCTTTCAGTTGGCTTTTAGCGAGCTTTGGCACGCTCGTACACGTTGTTGTGCGCTAAGCTCGCTTCAAGTGTAGTCGATATATTGTATCCGCGCTTACCAGAAAACAGTAGCAGATTGAAAAAGTCACAATATCGCCACAAGGATAAAGCAATGAATGGTATAAGAAGAAATTGGAATGTCACATGAATCAAAAATACACTTGCATCTTGCATATTGATGCAAAGTTGCCTTCATTGAACTACCGTGAGGCCAACTTGCACACCAAAGTTCGCGTATAAGCTGCACCCCGAGTTTAGCTAAAAAAGTTTTGTATATTTTGTGCATGTTATAGACAGAAAGTATATTCACTCTGTGTTCGGCCTAGTATATATATGACTCCGCGAGAGTTCAGTGCAAAGAATAATGCATGTGCATGTTGGGACCTAAGTATGAGTCATAATTATCAGATCTCCTTAGCTTTTGTGGTCCATACATGAAATTTCGCTGCAACGAAATTCTGGGACAAATAGCTTTTTTTTTGTACGTCCTGTCATGTTGTAGGGAGATTTGATTGGATAGCTTCTTTTTTGCAAACATAAAAACAAGGATTAGTGTACTTGTTACGGGGTTGTTCTCTGTTATATCAATTCTTTGGATTGGCATTGTTTCTATAATTTGCAGTAGACACACAAAATTTTTTTAGGATTATCAGAGCATGAATAAGCATTGACTTCGAGCAACATACCATCTCTACTTGCAAAGTTTGTTTCTTTGTGTCACACAAGAATCACAGACAGTTGTGCATGATTACCAGTAAAATATTTTAAATGTTCGCTGTAATGCTGGTAGTACTCATTATTGTGGAATGTGCTCACATGACTGTAAACAAGGGATGAAATGCGTTGTGTCCCGTGACAGCTTCTAGCTTCTTCCTGTACAGTAGACTCTCAGTAAACGGAACCTGAAGGGACCGGGAAAATATGTTCCATTTAGCAGGAGTTCCGTTGACTGAGAGGCGAACATGGGTGCAGAATACAAGCTTGAAACCTAGTTTGAAACCCGTTTAACCAGTAGTTTCGTTCAACAGATTTCCGTTTACTGAGCGTGTACTGTACTTGGGTAGTTTTTCTAGTATGACAACAGTGTACTTCGGCGAAAGTAACTTCAGGACGAGTTCGGCACATAATGGGCCATGGATAGACCACCAGTTTTTTTTTTTTTTTTCCTTAGTCCTCACTCAGCATGCCATTGATAGTACGTGACATTTGGCTGGTTAGGTCATTCTGTATGCAGTCGGCTTTGCTTGCCACTGTTCGTGACAAAAAAACGCAACTGTTCACCTATAAGCAACAAACACAGCAGATAATTCCAGGCATGAAGGATTAATCGAATTTATGCAGTGGCACTAATTATAGTTAAGGGACTTAGTGGCTTCAAGATACATTGAGAACATCAAGGCCAACTAAAATTTTAAGCTGTACTGTATTTAAATACTTTGGATTGGCATTGTTCTTGAATTCTAGGCATCATAAGTTCATCTACAAATACTTGTAGCGGGAGCCCATCTCAAGGAGTGTGGTTATTATAGTACTCTTGGCTTTCTGTTGTGGCTTTGCTAGAGTTTTATGCACACTGGATTCCTGTAAATTACGTGAAACTGATTACCTTTTGAATATAAGTAATAAACAATGATGCAGGTGTGAATCACAGTTGCTTTTGGGGAATATTTGTAACCAGGAATATTTGTTGTGTTGCAGGCTCACTACTTGCTGCAGTTTCTCAGCTGTACCGGGAACACCTCTTGCACAGGGCCGTTGCTGCACTTGCCTCATCAGGCAGACCAAGGTTTGTAGCTAGCATTAGAGTAATGTGTATCAGGTGATGGCCAGTTCTTTGCTGCCATTTCCACAGTGAAATAGAGGCTCAATATACAAAAATTCTCATGGTAAAAAAGTTGCACTTTAAGCTTGGTATATTATAAGAGCTGCTTTAGACCACGGGAGAGTAAATTCCTTCCTGTCCCATTTTCTGGCACTCTCTTGATTAGCTCTTTTTAGTATATGTAACAACGTTTTTAAAAGAGAGAAAAGAAGGGAAAAGTGAGCACCGTAACTGTCTGCATTATAGTGCGACACATCAACAATGGCTCACGAGGAATGGGGGTAAGGAGGGATTAAGGGATAGAGAGGATTTAAGGGATAGGGCAGGGACGGAGACCCACATGCGGGAATAAGGAGAAGATAGAAAAGATTGACACGGTCGCAAGAGTCCTGAGGACGGGGCACTACTCTTGTTGGCGTCAGGAGATGGCGTAGGGCGAGCCAGTCGGTCAGAGCTGCGCTGTCGTCGGAGATCGCGGGGGCACAACCGGTCGGCACGAAATACAGCGAGCAAGTCCTCTTTGGGTGTTTAGATTTGGGGACCATACAAAAATGGAGTATTCACAATCAAATCAATTCAAATCGTTCAGCCATGACGGGATTAAAGGCTCATTCATGCTTGTGATTAGTTCCGGTTGCCCCACCAAGTTAGTTCTCAAAGTGTTGCTAACTGTCGCAAAGCGACTGCTTTGGCTCAGTTGCGGAATTTCAGTTGCAAACCAAAGATCTAATCAGTTGCGCAAAGATAGGACATCTGCTTATTTTAAGGGGCATGAAAATGCGAGCAGACATGAAATCTGCGTGTCAAAGGGCATAAGTCACACGCAGGTGGAAACATCGGTCACATGGTCGCTTTTCGGTCACCAGTTGCAAACATTTGCACAACCTGTGCTAGCCGCCAGCGTGAGGGAGCGTTCACAGCCTAGGCTTTCCTTTGGGATAGTAAACCCAATCAGTCGGTCTGTCTCTCACGCAATCTGCATGTAGATATGATCTAATTTGTCAACTGTTGCAAACGAGCCTCTTAGCCATACTGAAACAGTGTTCATCCTCCTTTTTTCACTGCAGTCGAGGTGGCCTTGATGCCCTGCAGCTGGTGGAACTGCTGGAAGGTGCGAGCTGCAGCTCCAGCATGACCGGCGACAGCCTGACCGGTGTGGAACACGACGAGGCTGCCCTCTGGTGGGCTGCAGTGCTGCGTGTCGCATTGTTGTGGGTGCGTGGAGAGCCCGCCCAGCAGGAATGCGCCCAGGCCGAGGCTGCCCTGCGCAATCTGCACTGGGATCAGACTCAGTAAGGGGCAATGCATTCATGCATGTGCTGGTCTTGTGTTGCCGAAGTAAACAAACGAAGGGAACACCCTATGGAATCAACAGAAAGTGAAGCTAAGGAACGTATAGAAGACATTACCTGTACATTTTAACTGTAGTATATGGTAATTATTGCATAAATAGAAAGGAATTAATGTGGATAAAAAATGGACCTGCTGCAGGTTGGGAATGAACCTACTACTCTCAGGGTAATGCATCCAATGCTCTACGGCACAGGGGCAGCTGCTTTTTCATCCACACTGTTGGGTACAGTCGAACCCTGTCTATAATGAACTCTAACGGCGAATTCCAATTGTCGAGCAGGAGCAAGTTTTCTTGCTCCGCGGCCGAGAATCTGCATTCTGCTGATAAATTCGGAGCAAGTCTGCATTTTCCGCTGGCAGATTCAGAGCAACCCACTTCCTGATGGAGTGTTCCACGTGCTCCATCTTGCAGAGACAGATTTTGCCGGATCAGCGAGAATGCGTTGCAGTCATTTCCAGTACAATCTGGCAGTTAGGTTGTCTTCAGCATTTTTTGAGGCGGTGTCTGTCTAGTCACCCTGTGCACTTGTTTACATTGCTAAAATGGTGTCGTTTGACTCTGCTGGACATGCTGCTGCTGGTTTGCTTCTCGCTACTGCTAGCAGTAGCAGCAGTGAAGACGACGAGCCGTACGTGGTGTGCGAAATGATGTGTAAGCAAATGTTTCCTGGCCCGCCGTGCACATGGCCGCAAATAATCGGCTACGTCGAGGAAGTTTCCGGTACTGGTTTAGTGACGTATGCGTAAACAATATCCGGAGTGACCTCCTCGCAGGGCATTTACGTTTTCCACTCTCAAATCTGGCTTGGCGCAATCCAAGTGCTCGCTCCAGGATTTCAGTGGCCGCTCCGGATCTACCAGCAGAATTCACCAAAAGTGCCACAAAAAGTAGTCATAATACCAGCAGTCCGCCTTATTAAGCTAACTTGTAAAAATGGGCACTTAGCAACAAGCTGCTAATTTCATCTGCAAATAACCCTCGGTGACATTTAAGCCTTCTCGCTTCTTGATATGACAGTCGTGAGTGAATTAAAGTGCCTTTACAATAAATTAACACCGTTTCACCGAAGTACGGTACACCGTTCGCTGAAGTGTGGTACCGGCACATGCAGCTCATTATCCTTGGCTATTTATGTGCAGCGTGTTGCCTACTGGGTCTCACACGGTTACTGCTGGGCCGCTTGCTATGTACAGTTGAACCCAGTTTTCTATGATCCTCAGCTATAAGAATCTATTGGTTATAATGACCATATTTCGGAGCACTTACGATTTTCCATGCTATCCCATTCAAACTGTGTCCGCATGTAGTGAATATTTTTCAAAGCTTCTTACTTTGACAACGAACACTTACAATATGCTCACGGTGAAAACATGGTGCACAAGAAGCGGAAAAAAAGGTTATGACATGTCGGAGGCGTGCGCTCGCACATCCTCCCCTGCAGTTTACTAGTGAAGAAGATATCGTAGACTGTGGTGAGTACGCACGGAGATTTCAAACGCTGGAAGCAAGGTCGCTCACTCTCCAGGTGTTTATTCACTGGCAGAATGGCATATACACGAAATAGGAGGCAGCATGGAGACTTGCAGTTGGCTTTCGCACGGCAAGCTTCTTTGATGCTGTTCTCTGCAACTATGACTGCCAACAATTGATCAATGTGTTTTGCCTTTGAACTCAAGAAGCCAGAAATGCAAGAAGTGATAGCTTTTTGTTGCATAATAGTTCACTGCGACGCCCAACTCACCTATACCACCATGTGCCGCAAAAGGTATTCTGCCTTTCGGTAACGGTGCAGGTTGATCAATTTATGATAACGTATTCCGCCTGGTTGGTTACGGTGGTGCCTTAACAGGTCAACATCAGAAAAGGCGAAGGCGAGGTGGCCAGTGGCAATCAGTCTGCCATATTGACTCATGACTGACAGCCTTGTCACAGTTATCTACATACATCTGCTCGGCTGCGCGTGTTTAAACCACGCTTAGTGACGGTGGTGCAAGCTTGTCATGCTGCTGTGCGCAAGTTCCCTGCCATGTTGTCGCTTGGGAATTGCTTGCAAGAAGCATGTCTTTGTCGTGTCGAACGAACAGGCTACTCTCTCCACGTAAGCATGTTCCGTAATGAAGCATACACAAAAAACACATGAACGCGTGCATACATTTCACTGCAACCAGCCCAGCATGCGACAGCGAGAGCCAGGTGAGCAACGTGCTGCACGCAACTGGCCAGGATAAGTTTTTCTTATGGGTGGAACTGCGCTTGAGCGGAGCAACACGAGTTTTTTGCGATTGTTTAATTCACTTGTGAGCAGACAGCGAGTGTCGCTTCCCACACGAAAAGGCCAACTTGTCACCGTCATCAGTAAGGTTGTAAGTACTTTTTAATAAAAAATACACAAAAAGAAAATTGTTAGGTTGCTAAGTGCCCGTTTTTAAGGATGAGTCTTTGTGCAGTCAACTATCGACATAGGGGCAACTTATAACGACACTTTCGAGTTCGTTATAACAGGTTTTGCTGTTCTAGGGGTGTGCGAATATTCGAACTTTTGAGTATTTTTCTACCGATGCTTACTATTCAAGTGAATCTGAAAATTGTCTGCTTGTTGAAGTTCGATACAAAACAAAAGCCACTTTCGTGGCTTTTGGCCAGAGCTTACCATGGGTTAAGTTGAGTGCGGTGTCATTGGCGTCGCAAAATGGCAACTGAGGGCATTTTCTGACGGGTTTACGCAAGTTATTGCATTGTCGACAGCAGCTTGTTTACGTCATGTCAATCCCCAGTGAAGTGCAAATGCTTATGCTCCGCTTCAAAATCATAGCTCATGTCAAAAGAGTTTTACCTTGCATGCATCACATCTGTCTTTGCAAGCTGTTAGGATCTCCTTCTGATTTGTTTTGATTTCAGCTAATTTAACATTCTCGGTATTTCTGTACTTCTTGAATAGATTTGAATTAGTTGGAATGGTGTAGATGGAATGCCACTGTGCCAGTCATTCATTTCCTAACTGGGCAGTGACGTGTGTGAAATTTCTGTGCAGGGATCCATTGCCATGGGCGGTGGCGTCTGCAATGATGGCTCGTAAGGGACTCTTGGCAGCTCAACAGCCCTCATCACGCGACACTCTCAATGCTTGCAATCGGGCTAGTGCACGATTGTGGGATTGTGCTGGCCATCCGAAGCACCTTGCCAATGCCACTTCACAGGCAAGTGTTATTTTTTCTCTTGCGCTCATTGTATAGCATTGACGGCTCAGAAACCGTTTCCCCAACCACGCATGTACGCACGCAATTAACCAAGAATGTGGATGGGGGAAAGCCGCCGTTGTAGCACACAGCTGGCAGTGTAACATGTTAAATACGGAGGATGCAGGTTTGACTTCACAGTGATTGCAAGGGTGTTTTTTCAACCACTTGCCTTGAGATTACCGTTTTGACACTTCAAATAAATCCCACCTTTTCTTAATCGAATCGAAGCTTGGACTAGTTGCTAATTCAATATTGACATGTTTGCAAAGCATCCGTTGAACAAGAACAGAGAGGACAGAACACAGGCACTGTGTTGTGTCCAGCACTTGTGTTGTGTCCTCTTCTCCGTCCTCGTACAGTTGGCACTATGTAAACATAGCAATGGTTGTCCTTCCAATTCATTATGATTTCAACTAATTTAGCATAAAAAGTTTTGTGCTTTGTTCTTTCCTTCTAGCATTTTATTCTAGCTAGATGCGATCACTGATCAACTTAGTGCTCACCAGTAGTTTTCTGCTGATACACTGTCACGAATACTGAGTTGACCACTACAGCATCACCTTGTGGAATAACGCTGCAAATTACGTGCTGAAACACACAGGCACATTGGAGGTGAAAAGTGCCTGGTTTTGCGGTGCATTGTAGTTGCATTGCATGTTCGTTGCATACAGTGCAGTGCTTCTTCAGTGCAATCGCAAGGCCTGTGCTGTGACATCGGTCCGGAATGGCATGCATACATTTAGGAGCACAGATACTTGGGCAAGTTTTGAACTGATCCATGTGGGTTCTTAGGAGTGTAAAACAGACAAGATACAAGAGAAGGACTACACAGGACGAGTGCTCATTTGTGTAGTTTTTTTCTTGTATCTTGTCTGTTTGGTGCTCCTAAGCACCACAACATACACACATTGCAGCGTAAAACACCTTGCATCAGTGGCTGAAATGAGCAGACGACATTATTGTGGCGATTTTCAGGGGTGCGATAATTACAGTGAAAGCTCGTTAATTCAAACATCAATAATTCGAATTTATGGATAATTCGAACTGTAAGTTATGATCCGGCCAAGCTCCATACAAGCCTATGAATAAAAAAGCCAGTTAATTCGAATGCGAGTAGGTTCCGCCACGGATAATTCAAACTACGGGCCACCGCGCCGGCAGCTTGGCTAGTCGCCCAATAAGGGCGGCTGCCGAGTTACGAGGCGGCGTTGACAGTGAGCGGAGACCAGAGTGCAGAAAATGTCACCTCTTACTCTTCACCCCCCCATAATATCTCTCGGCGGCTGCCTGCTCTCCGTCCTGGGTAACCTCCAAGATTTCTAAGCGCAGATCTCGGAGCCTTTCCAAATCCTGCGTAGCTGCCGCTGTTAAACGACAGATAGCATGATCAGCACACAGCAAATCGAATGCGTCGCAGCTTCGCACAGCCTACGCCTCCTAAAAAAATTATGCCTGGAACGTGAGCTGCGAACGCGGTGCTCTACCCTCTAATTTTACTCTCCTCCTTCGGTTCGAAGGCAAGCGTCTCTGACGGCCGTCCCCTGCAAACACAGCAATACTCTCACAGTTGCCTCCGAGCAGCTGTGATGTCACGTGACAGAGCGGTATAGTAATGTCACGTGACTGAGCGGTACGGAGGCGAGCGGTATCATGCCGCGGCCTGTCGCAACACAAGGCAGGAGGCATGGCCTCCGAGATTAAGTGCTGGCAGGAAGCTCTCAATTGAAAAGAGAGCGACGTTTCAGGCATAGTTTTTCTAGGAGGCGTTGGCCCATCCTTTATCTCTGCAGTCTCCGTCTCGGCTGTGCGTCGTACGCCTCGGTTGTTGGTGCCGGGAGTAGCTTCCAACTGTCGCGATTCTTTGTGTTGGTGTTAGGCCTAGGCTAACGTATGCTGCGGTAGCGCCGGTAGTAGCTTCCCGTCTGTCGCGATTCTGCTGCTGTGACTTGATGGCATGTGCCCGCGGCAAATACCATGCCAAAACACTTCAGGAGAAAGCTGATATCCTGCGGGAAGTGGACGCTGTACTCTTGCCTAAGCAAGAAATCGTGAAAAAGCATGGTATACCGAAATGACGCTATCTACCTATATAAAAAATAGGACTATTGAAGACGCCTTACAGGCAGAAGTTGCGAGCAAAAGAAGGAGGTTGCGGCCCGCAAAGTATCCTGACCTTGAGAAAGCGCTTCTCATTTGGATAAAGGAAATGCGTTCGCAGGACATACCACTGAGTGGCCCAGTCATACCGGCAAAGGCAGCGGACTTCACCCTGCAGCTAGACTACGACGACTTCGCTGCTTCAGATGGGTGGTTGCACCGTTTTTGCGAGCGTTACGACCTCGTTTTCTGTGCTGTGTCGGGTGAAATAAACGCTTCCAACATAGAAACGTGTGACGGTTGGCGCTCCGAGGTGCTTCAAGGCTACATGAGAAGTATTCTCCGCTGGACATATTTAATGCGGATGAAACTGCCTTTATTTTTCAAATTGCTGCCCGCCAAAACTATCACATATAAAGGTGACAAGTGCACAGGAGGGAAAAAAAAAAAGTAAAGAACAGATAACTGGGATGGTTGCTGCGAACATGATCGGGACCGAAAAGTTGCCTCTGTCCGTGATAGGCAAATCGAGAAGTCCTCGTTGCTTCAAAAACATCTGGTCCCTCCCATCAGACTACGCGGCCAACAAAAAGGCCTGGATGACGGGGGAATTGTTTGCGGCTGGGGAAGCTTGACAAGAAGTTCGAACGCTGAGGCCGCAAAGTCCTGCTTCTTGTGGACATTTGTTCGGCCCATGCAGTCAACGTTGAGACGAAGGCCATTGAGCTGTCGTTCCTTACAGCAAACACGACAGCGATATTGCAGCCCATGAACCAGGGTATAATTAAAAATTTTAAATCATTTGCACTACACATGCTTGTGTGTGCTTGGGAGCTAGTGACAGCGCTTACGATAGCGAATTGCTATCGCCACTGTGGCTTCAGCACCGAAGCTCTACAAGCTGACGAGCCACCAGTGCTCGAACACAGCGTCACCGCTCCCATGGCGGACGTTTTGGAAGACATCTGCTTTGCGGACAACGTCGATGTGTACTCAAGTGCAGTGGTGTGTGGTGCACTCACGGATGACGACATATGTCAGGTGAGAAGTGCAGAACCTGTCACTGCCAGTGACGATTATGAGGAGGAGGACGAAGCACCAGTGCGGCCCTCTGCTGCGGAAGTCATGGCCTGATTGAATGCCGCCCGTCTTTTCTTAAGTTTTGAAGAAGGCGGAAAAGAGGCCTTTTGCCAAATTCGCTCATTAGAGCAAAAAGTGCTGGCTGTCGCCTTCAAGGAAAGAAGGCAGACCGCAGATTTTTAAAAAAATAAATTGTTATGCCCTACTCGCAGTGTACTATTGTTGTTCTTCACTTTCGTTAGTTCGTACTTTCGTTAATTCGAACTGAGGCGGCTTCCCCTTGCGGTTTGAATTAACAAGCTTTTACTGTATTCGCGAAAAAAAAAAAGAAATATTTTTGTTGGGTGATGTTGGGGGTGCGAGGATTATGCGAGTAGATACGGTAGTATGAAGCAGGGCATTACCGTATTTACTGGCGTAATCCTCGCACTCGCATAATTCTCACACCCCCGACATCGCCCGACAAAAATATTTCTTTTTTTTTTTTCTCGAGGCGTTATCGCACCCCCGAAATTTGCCACAATAATGTCGTCTGCTCGTTCCAGCCACTGATGATGATAGCATGTGCCGTCTGGCGCCATCTCCTAAGAAAAGAGCATACTATTATTGCACCGAAATTCAATCCAATCCAAGCCAAAGAGGCAAATGCACGTGGCTACACACACGGCTGCTTTCAAGTTAAGTGATAGATCATGGACTAAACAATGACAACAGGGCCGCCGGTAGGCCCTTCGGAGTCCGAGTTTTGTGCTCGCTACTGGTGACGGCAGCTGAAAGCCACCAAGACGTGTTGGGCCTTCCGTGTGTCCAAGACTGGGATTGATGGTAAAGTTTATTTCTTGAGAAGGTAACTGCAGGCGATTCTGTTAAATGGCCGTCAGCCCAATACTGACGTCCTTCGCTTACCTTTTGCGGACTCTTGTTGAGCAACGAACGCTACCACTATACCCACAACACCCTCAAGCTTTGCGTACGGTATTCTAATTTTCAACTATTTGATTGCGCCTTTTGTGTCTCAAATAAATCTTGCCTTGTGTTGAACCTGTGCTTTTATTGTTCTGGCGTGAGAATCCCGACTTGCGGCCACCTTGTTTTCTTTTTCGCTCTGTACGTTTTCGTGGAAAGTTTTCCCCACGTAATTCTTGCACCCCTTAACTTTGCATCGGCTTGCAGTCCAAGAAAGGGCGAGGATTATGCGAGTAAACACGGTAATGGCAATTTTTCAGGCTGCTCTAATTCTAATGGATGTGGACATGAGGCAGGGTTGGAGGGAGACGAGGAGGAAGAAGAGGTTAGAAATAAAGAAGATGGCCTGACACCCCAGCCTGGTACTGTGTATTATTACAAATTGGCGCAGCCGCATATACTTTCTGTGCGGACATTCAAGATGTGGGTGGACTTCACCATTGGAGCAAATCAACGCGGTGGCATCCGGATCTTGACCGCAACGCCTCAAGATGAAGAGGAACTAGTACTTCCAGAAGCAGTGAGCACTGACACACTTGTTTCCTATATAAGCACTAAAATGAAGCTCACTCCAGACCATTTACTTGCTAAAAGAACGGTGAGGATCAACATGAAACTTCGGGATTATGAGAATTTCGTGCTGACTCCAGTAAGAAACGACACGAAGCCTGCTACCGCTGCTTCGCCCGACAGTTCCGTCGAGCTGATCAACAAGTTTCTTGAACTGCACCAAGAACAGAATAGGCAGCAAAATGATTTAATGCGCTTGCTTGTAAACGCGACGGAAAGATTAAGCAGGCAGAGTCGCGAACACG